ACGTCTTTTGCCGCAAGCCATAATTTTAGTTTGATTTTTTTAAATAATATTTTAGCCATATAAAGAACCTTTAATTCAGTTACGTCCATGATTACCTAGACGATCTGGTGACAGGACACAATTGTTTGAGACGAAACACAACAAAACTGTATTCTCGTAGAAAGTAATTTGCAAAACCTTCGTTATCAGGCACTGTAAAACATATACTTTAGGTTGAGGACAATATTTGCCAGTAAAATCATGTGCGTCTCGTAATACCCCTTTATCGCGTCATTATTAATAGCGTGCAAATATTATCCAAGCGGGTTTTTATTTTTATTTTACTGAATACAAAAACTTCCCATACTACAAAGGCATGTATGGGAAAATGTTTGCATCATCACACAAAAAGCTAGATTTATCGCTTTCTGTCACAACAGATTTTGGAAAAAGAGGAATTCGCAGAGGAATCCCTCCCCAATTTTGATTTCAGATAGTTATTCAGTAACAGACAAAACTGTGTTAAAGTATATTGTTACAGGCAAGGCAAAGCCCATCCTATGCCTACATACAAAATCTTTGATTCAAACAATATGGCCTCGATCAAGTGTGGCTTATTTTACAGTTTTGCGATGTTACTTGATGACTTTCGAAAATTTATATATTAACTTATTATTTAATATTAAATTTAAATTGTTCTGTCCACCCAATAAAATGTTTAAAAACTTTTTTCCTAGAACACCCCTCTAGGAAATCCAGAATTCGCCCCTGCTTGGCTTAAACCAGCTAGAAGTACATACTTGGGCGATGGCATCTGACCTTTTTAATATATCAAAGTCACTCCAAAAGTCCTAAAACATTTTTATACTGGGTCTCACATGAATATTTCCAGCTCTGGTCATTTCCATTTTTTACATGAATGAGATACATGAGCAATCCCAATAGCGACTGGATGGCGATTCCGACTCTTTTAAAGAGATTTGATAAATAATGCTCTTTAATCCAGAAAAGAAATACATATAAATACATTAGCGGTGTGTTATAACTCTTAAGGAGTGTATTTCACATTCTCTTAGTGAACTAATACCTTTACAGAAACCAGTAACTGATGCTCTGATCAGTTTGACCATGCAAAGAACTTGAACTAGCAGAACTTGGGATATAAAGCTGATGAACAGAGAGATTAACATTTCCTATACAAGTTATTTGATTGTTCCGTCTTTTTAAACATTTATTAGAAATGAGAAATAATGTCACAATTCTGGATCTTTGTGTTAAACAAGCCATGTACACTTTTTGAGCTTATCAAATATCGTTTTGTCATACCACGACAAAGCCAGTCTTATTGTATTTCCACATCACTCTCTCCTTCTGTTGCTTTTGCCTTGTATCCTAACATACATTATTAATGAGGCAGTGACAGATAAAAAGTAGTCCCAAATCACTATTCAACTGTGTCAAATCTTCCACACATCTCAAAGCTACACCAAATCCCAAAACTTTGACAACTCCCTCATTATGCTGTTTTAATCTCTTCTATAAAGTCACTGCAGCATTAACTGGAGGTTAAAAGTACATTCCAAGTATGTTTAAAAGTTGATAGGTTTCCCACAGTAAGCTGCTAGGTTGGCCTCTCGTAGTGCTTCAGCAACCGTCTGAAAAATTAATCATAATGGTGTTAAACTGTCTGCATATTGAGCTTCCATTAGATTGACACTTCATCACTCCATGTAAAAATAAATTTAAGTCACAAAACTGCAGATGCAATATTGCAAACTTGTACTACTTGAAATCTTATCTAGTTACTTGTAATGATAAGAGACATGATAATATATATAGTACAAAAAACTTCAGCTTTGAATGGCAATTCAAATGTGTCTGTATTTATTTGTACATAATTAAAGAAACATCATGAAAACACCCAATTTTTCAGATTTTTCAGGTCACTGGAAAAATGATTTTATTATCAGTGTGCCTCTGCCCTTGCCATTACTGCTGATTTTTGCGGCTGACGTTGTGCTTTAAGCTAAGAATGAAAAGGACTTGCAGTCAAGGCAGTTCACTCTGAATGAGGACAAAACTCAACTTTCAAGTAAACGTTTTATTTCTTTTAAAATTATATTTCTTTTTATATGGGTGAGACTAAAATATCTTGAATATTGCTTCTACCTTTCCACTACTGTTTATCTGATAGCCTAAAAAATTAAGAGGTGTAGGATTTCAGACTAAACAGACAGACCAAAAGTGTGTGGTATTTGGTCAGAGCAATCGCCAGATGCACGCTGATAATATTGTCCAGTTTCCAGGGTGCGTGAAACAAAGGTCAGGAAAGGAAAGCCATTACTTACAGGGTGAGCGTGACAGACCCTGGCGACATCTTCACAAGATGCTCCATACTCCATAGCTAACACTGCTTCATTGATTAATTCACCAGCAACCTGAAATAATTTGCTACTGTTAAGTCACAATAATAATCTATTAAAAAATTTACTACAAAAAGGTTACTTTTATTTTTATAGTGTAAATGCATCAAAATATTCAAAGATATATAACAATTGATCATAATAACAAAAAATCAAATCTTAATAGTAGGAGGCAGATTAAAATGGTCTTTTTGATGTTTTCCTACTGCCAATGTCGTTATAAAGTTTCTTTTTCAATTTTTAGACATTCTAATGCTTACAAACAAACATATTAAAATTCAATCTGATTTTTACCAATCCATCATAGGTTGTATAAAAGAAATTAGTTATCAGACTTGTTTGACAATATATAAATTAATATATAGTTATAAGGGTTATTTTACTTATTTAACAAATAAATAAATCAGTATTACCACAGACAACTAAAGCCCAGATTTCATTTGCCATACAATGTCTGTTCAGTGCTAGCATGCTGCCAGTTAAAACCTTTTCATGTGGTGTCTGTGCAGAGGCATATGGTGGCCGTGCAACTCTTACGGATCCACAGCCCCAGTAGCCACTACAATTTTGTCAAACAAAAAATTTGGATTCTATCACAAAAGGCTTGCATATGATTATACAGTGCAAGAGGCAGATGTAATCTTGGTTTAAATTCATCAGTGATCTACTTACAGAAGCAATTATATGACATCCCAATAACCTATCTGTCTCCTTGTCACCTAAAACCTTGACAAAGCCATCTGTGTCATTATTACACTTGGAGCGGCTGTTGGCAGCCAATGGAAACTTCCCCACTGCGTACTTCACACCCTAGGTGCAAAAAAATAAAATAAAATAAAATAACAGCATAATACCATGGAAAGATAATGTAAAAGCCAAGAGTATCTCTTCTTAGCTAAAACTACTGAACATAATTAAGCACTGCTGTACATTGCTATTCAAAAAGCCACTTTCAATTAAAAACTGTGAAAATTAAAAACATGAAAAACTTCATTCAACAATTCGATTAAAATTTTTGATTTCTAGAACAAGATAAACACAATCATTCCAATTTTCAGTGTTCCCAAAACCGCTCTCTAATTAAACTGAAGCCTTCTTTTTTTTCATTTTATTGTCTTTAAGTTTGACTTTTTAGTTCATTTTTTTTATTGTTGTTGCTAAAGCAGTATCTTACCCCATACTTCTCCTTTCAGCTGTTCCTCTGTCTTGCCTACTCAGAGCAATTCACAAGATATCTTACCTCTTCTTTCAGCTGTTCCTCTGTCTTGCCTACCCAGAGCAATTCACAAGATATCTTACCTCTTTTTTCAGCTGTTCCTCCGTCTTGCCTACCCAGAGCAATTCACAAGATATCTTACCTCTTCTTTCAGCTGTTCCTCTGTCTTGCCTACCCAGAGCAATTCACAAGATACCTTACCTCTTCTTTCAGCTGTTCCTCTGTCTTGCCTACCCAGGCCACCTCTGGGTGTGTGTAGACCACGGAGGGAACACAGTTGTAGTCCAGATGTCCTGCCCCACCACAGATGTTCTCAACACAGATTATACCTTGAGAAACAAGGACATGTATTAGTATGGCAACGTTTTTTTGTGTAGATGTCCCACTTTAAACTCATATAATAACAACTTGTAGAGATGTCCTGATGATTTTGTTTTCTAACCATGCTGTATACCTTTTCTAACTTTTAAGTCTTATTTCAACTTGCTCCTAAAATATCTAAATATTTACTGGAAGAGCTTGCAGATCAAAACCATGATGGCCACCAGTCTTGCATATCATTCTTTCATGCTGGTCACAAAATTCTCAACTTAGTCATTTATTATTTTTTAATTTAAATAAAATTATATGCATATAAATGGGCACTTACCTTCATCCTCAGCTTTGTGAGCCAGCATAGGACCTTTGATACAATCACCTATAGCATAAATACTGAAATACAAACAAAGGATTAAAATAAAAACTGTTTAATGCTGTCAAGTAAATTTTTATTCCGTCTTTTTTTTTACCATACACACATCTTTCATTCATTTTCATCAGTTGGAAAAATCTCATCCCCAGAGGCGTAACCAGACCTTTAAAAATTGTACGCACAGATTTTGAAAATTCCCAGGTACGATTATATTCCTTGAGAAATACACTAAATTAATGGAGAATAATATCATGGTTGGCTCAAAAAATTGTACGCACAGTGCATCCGTGCGTATGCCTGGTTACGCCCCTGATCCCTGCTTATTGTAATATGAAAAACAGTGTGGTTAGTAAACTCCACATACAAAGTAAACATACACTTCTACATTCTTTTATGAGCAACATGTAGTCTCCTCATCAGTACCCCACCTGATGGCCAAATGAGATAAAATAATGATATATATATATATATATATATATATATATATATATATTCTTTAAAAAGACATCAAATCAATGTGAAGTTCACAAACTTATTCATACATACTTAGGTACTAAAGTCTGGAACCTGTCATTGACATCTATTCTCCCTCTCTCGTCCAGCTGCAGGCCCACGCTATCCAGGCCAATGTTCTTAGTGAAGGGCCGTCTTCCAATACACACTAGTAGGGTGTCACACTCAATCTGAAAATAAGTACATAAAATTAATCCCCTGGTGGTGTTAGTTTGGATAAGTAAAAACAAACAAATAAACAAATAAATATAAATAAAATAGATCCTTCATAGTTACCTGTCTGATTACAGTTGTGCAATTTTTCAATATCAATTTTCCCTCATCTATTGATTTCATCTAAGGATTAGTAAATTTTGATTCAGACCAGTAATTTTCTCCATTCTACTAGTCAGAGTAACCCATGGGCAGAAGTTATAGAAGCAGACCATCAATCCATCAAAATTATGATAATTAACAATTAAAACTGGCTGCAAGCAGTTATTTCAAGTAGATAAAGATATGTGCAGAGATATAACCAGAAGGAAAAATACTTTAATTTAACTGACAAAATTGAAATTAAAAGTTTAATCATTTTACCTGGTCGCCTTTGCCATCTTTCACCCCCTCAAAGGACACCCTGATTTTGTCACCCACTTTCTCGGCCTGGGTGACCTTTGTGTTGAGTTTGAACTTGAGTCCCTGTTTAGTGAGGGATCTCTGGAAGTTCTTGGCCACCTCCATGTCGATGCCCAGTCCTCCGATGTGACCCAGGAACTCAATACAGGTGACATCTGCCCCTAACCTGGACCATACTGATCCCTAAATAATAATAATAATAATAATAATAATAATAATAATAATAATAATAATAATAATAACTGTTATTAACACTTTGAAAATAAAGTTAACTTTAAGTTAGTAGAATGGACATAACACACTTCTAAACATTAATAGTCTAAGAATTAAAATTGTACAAACTCAAATTATATCTTGGCAATAAAAGGAGTAGCATTGCCAAAAATTTTGTCTCCTTCAAATCAGGATGGATCTGAAGTCCATAGTCCATTCAAATTAAATTAATGCTGTTGTAAAACATCAGCATTTATGTCCTACTTCTCAGTATCTTTTTAGTTATATATTTTTGAAAAACATGCACAATATTGCACTGAATACTACTGATGCATTCTGTATCAAAGTCAAAGCAGCCTTTATAATTTGTTCCTCGCACGAAGGCATCCATCTAGGCACAGACTAGAAATGGAAACCCAGACAACGCACCAAAGTCATTTTTATTAGATTTAATGGTTTTCTGCTGTCTAAACACACATTACTCAGTGGACCAGGATTAAATCATTTCTAGAAGAACAAACTAAACTCAGCTGGCCAACCCAGCAATTTTGTGAAACCAACTCATAAGGAATCCTACCAATTCTACTCCTATGACTCCAGCTCCTATTACTACCATAGAACCAGGAACTTGTTCTAGAGACAAAGCACCTGTTGATGACACTATCTGTTTTTCATCAATCTGAAAAGAAAAAAAAAACAATGTCTAAATATAATCTATATTCTGAAGACAGTAATAAATCCAACGGTCATTAAATACATATACCACTGTCATAAAAAAATAAATTAATAATAACAACTTAAAAAAATTAATAAAATGAGTTTAACAATTTTAATTTTTTCATTCTCAAATACCACACTATCTTTACAAAAAAATCCTGTAAACTGCTACATCTTCCAGACAGCTTGAAACAGCTCTGGGCAATTTCCATTTCTGGAGGTACAAATTTTCTTTACCAAATTCTAAATTAAATTTGTTTTAGCTGTCAAATGTCCCCACTCTTCCTACCTCAATGCCAGGGAAAGGCGTGACTTCAGACCCGACAGCCAGCAGTATATTCTTAGTTGAAATTTTCTCCTCCTCTCCTCCTTCTTTCACCACTGTTACTTCATTGGCACCACTGATTTTACCAAAACCTTGGGCTAGAGTTACCTGTTCAAATACAAGAGTTATACCTAAACAGAGCCATAATAAATAAATAAATAAATAAATAAATGAATAAATAAATAAATAAATAAAGGTATTCATCTTATATGGAATTTGTCATAAGAGGTACAATTGAATAATGCTTCCACAACTGGGATAAATATTTGCATACTTCATTGTTTTGATCAGATAATGTTTTACCAAAGTCACATGATACATCATACAACTGTATAATAATATTCTAACATCATGCACTTAAAGCAGTGAGAGATCTATCTTATTGTCACTTAGCCGTTACCTACCTTATTTTGTTTGAATAAATGTGCAATGCCTCCTGTTAATGCTTTCACTGATGCCCTCTTCTGTTCCATCATTTTGTCAATGTTTAATCTTATATTATCAACTGAAACAAACCAAAGACAATGGCATGGCTTAATCCCAATCATTACAGCTGAATTAAAATTGCAAAAATGTGAGAGCATCAAGTCTGCCACATTATCAAAAAAATAATCATTACAGTTGAATTTAGTTTACAACTTCGTACAAATAAGGCATTTCTGTTACAATTTAAAATACAATTTTTTTCAAAAAAAAATTAGTTATTTGCTGCCAAATATTTTTATTTCAAAATTTACCAAGAAAGAAAGAAAGAAAGAAAGAAAGAAAAAGCATAATATTCCCCCATCCATTCCTGGAAAACAATGCATATTCCACTCACACTCTATCCCTCTGTTCTGCAGATCATTGGAGTGAGCCATGTGGTACAGATGGGAATTGTTCAGGAGAGATTTGGAAGGGATGCAGCCCACATTTAGACAGGTCCCTCCAAGAGTTGGGTCTTTCTCAACACAGGTGGTCTGAAAGGAAAATGGGGAAATGTTGCGTTTTATGATAGGTTTAAAGCCTTAAAAACATGATGCTGAGAGAAGCTTATATGCAATATTTTTTGAAAAAAATCTATATCTGGGCTTCAAATGTCTGTCAGTAGAATAAGTTGTTGAACCTGTCAGTAGAATAAGTTGTTGAACTATGTCTATGAAGGCATTGTGCTATGGTCACAAAGCATTTCCATCACATGGCACAGTGAGATTGTCTTTTAAAGGGCTTTATTTGCAAGGTTTGCTTTTTTAGATCAACCATCACAGACTTTGTAAAACAGCAATGAAATTATTCTTAGGTGTTACTGTACACTGCTACTGTGAATTGCACATCTGGACATCTACTTCTGAGCCTAGTCAATGTAAACAAAAGTGACACACAAAACACAAAAACAGGCCATGCACTGGATTTTACCTTCAGTCCCAACTGAGCTGCCTTGATAGCAGCAACATAGCCTCCTGGACCAGAACCGATCACGACCAGATCTTGCATTTCTAGAACAGTACATAACAATAATTCAAAATATTTACATAAAGATTTGTAGCTTGAAATAAATGTTTTTATTTGCAATGTATGCTATTAGTGTTTAGTATCACAAAGTGTCTTCGAGACATTATGTGCCAAAAGCTCTTCAATATTTTGATTGATTTAGCCACCAATGCCTTATAATCTTCAAGTGCAATACAAAAACCATGATCAACAAATGATTGGCAGATTTTACTGGTATTGGATATAAGTACACCAACCAAAAATTAGTTGCTTCCTTAAAATTTCTTTTATGATCAAGATGAATATAATATACATTGATATCATCACCCTAACTCCCACACACATACCCACACAACAAAAAAATAATAAATAAATAAATAAATAAATAAATAAATAAATAAATAAATAAAGAGAAAAGAATAAATAACATTACAGTATAATGGAATCTTTACAAACCTCCATTTGAGTAGTGTCTACTCTGGATTACATATGAAGTACATGACCAGGTCTTCACAGTCTTGGTCGCCTAAAATAACAACAAACGTTTGATTTATCACAAATTCAGTCACTATCAGATGTCGCGCTAGAGTAAAACACATAAATCATAAAGCCACTACAATTCATAAATATCGTTAGTGTATAAACAAATGGTGTGATTAAGCTATACTGTTTATCTTCGACAGATAAAAAACACTAGTTGCAGATGACAAAGTGATTTAAATAAATCACAGTGTCGATGAAGATGTTTGAATGACACAACGATGTCCAAACGCGTTGCAAAGCTATAGTACAGACTGGCCTCTGTCGGCCTTGTACACTGCGAGTCTCATCATTTTGTATACGCCGTCATACACTTGAAAATATTTTTTCAACTTTGAAAATACACATCTAGTCCAAATGTAAAATACCTCCTTTTAAAGTAAACCGCTTACCCGAGAAATGTGTGGTAAAAGTCGGCAACTTGCAGAGGACAACATCTTCACCTTCAGCAGCGAAGATGGCGTAAGCTTTAGATCAGGTGGCGACGCCTATCGATAAAAAAGCATCAGTAAGAGCCGGGCTCGATGCTTGGAATTTTTTAATCTTTTGAAAATAATCAAACTATATGTCAATGTCTAGTGTAATATGTAAGCTGAGACAAGACATAAATAGCTTGATGACGAACAAAATATTATAAAACCTCCCTTGTGTTCTTCAGTTTCATTTCCGGAAATTCAGTTTGCAGGTCAAGGTCATTTATTTTTAGCCATTCACAAACTTCTGCAAGATGTTGAAAAGGCTACGAAACATCACCAAAAGAGATGCAGATAAGGTAATATTTTGAGTAAAAGAAGATCCGTATATATTTCCAGCCTGTCTTATTGTTTGCAAACATTCAAAGAGAATATATATACCATGGTTTTAGGTTGAAAAATAAAGCTAATGTGACTGCCGTAAGTCGCCTTTTGCCTACCGGTTGTAAAATTGTGTACTTGTAGTAGTAGGCGTGACGCATAAATACCTAGAGAATAGTTGTTGTATGGGGAACGAAGATAATGAATGAGTATAATATCTGACTAAAAGTGGACGTCAGTGAGAATTGGTTGTCTTCTTATTTTGTAGATCATTTGGTTATTTGCAATTTTTATTCTTGTAAAAAATATTAAATGTTATTATTGTTTTTTTTTGTTAATGTGTGAGCGTTGTCAGTTTTTCAGTGTTTGCTTCATAACATTAATACTTGTGAACTTGTGTGGACAGTTCAATGTCACTCAATGTCACATGCCTTTTGAATGCATAATTAGTACATTAAGGTAAATGCATAAAGAAACTGATAGAGAAAGTGAGAGCTATTCCAGTCCTTGAAATCACTTAGTATTATCCCACCAACTATATGGAAAATATCCATTTTTGCCACCTTGCTTTGATTCAGTAAGCAAGTACACTCTGTGCCAAAACTTTTAAGCCCACTTGTCCTTCCAGCCACAAGTGTCTGAAAATAACTTTTCACGTACAGTATGTTGTTAATAACAAAATGGAGTTACAAAATTTTACAGACTTCAATTTTACTGACAATTGGCATGCTGTCACTGCAAAGGTTCAGACTAAAATAAATAGAAATTCTACTGTATATATTCATAGTAAGAACTGATAGAATTAGTTAGAATTAATGAAGGAAATTTTGACAATAATTACAGGAAGATGAGCCCCCACCCTCTCCACAGCGTCCCCAGCAGGGGTCAGCACCACAGTCACCACATCGTGAGACTGGGGATCACAATAAAGAGGTAAAACATAAATGAATCGATATATGAATGAAACAGTAGTTTATTGATATTACCACAGTATTTTGTAGGTTATAATAATCACTTGTTGATTTGTATATTTATTGCCAGAAATTTAGGTTGATATTACTCGTATAATCAACATTTATCCCATTTTCTATTAGAACACTTGATCCTTAAAATGTAAGGTTTACTTCCAGTATTTTAAAAAATGAACAATAAGTAAAAAATAAGTTAATAAAATAAGCAGATCATTCATGCTGTATGTAATTGATTGAAAACTAAGGTCAAAGTAAGGCAAGTTTTTTTAAACATAGTTGTAGTGCTTTTTTATTGAACATTTATAATTCAAAGGAGGAAGTTACATGAAAAATAAAAGGTGAAAGGAGAAGCATGTCTAAGTATATCTTGTACATTTGGATGAATTAGCTTTAGATACTGCCCTTAGTCAGTCAAAGTAAAAGCATTGATTCTGGTATATTTTCCCCATATCAGGGTTTCTTGTGTCCTATGTGTATGAATGAGATGTCATCTGCCGAGGCTCTACAGAGCCATTTTGACCTTGTCCATAACCAAGAGCAAGCCAAGGTTTGTCATTGTGGTGACCCTTTTTCTACTGGAGTGGGTTGGACTAGTACTAGGACTGTTGTTTGCCATTGATACAACGTATAACCCATATAAGCTAATCACCACTTTAATACCAGGCCCGTAGCCAGCAATTTCAAAGGGGGGGTTCTTTTTCCGAAAAAGTGGACCTTTTACCATATAATCCCCATGTACCTAGGTCAAATTTTACCCAGAGTGGACCTTTTTCCAGCAAAAAGGGGGGTTCTTTCGAACCCCCGAACCCCCCCTGGCTACGGGCCTGAATACTAACATGGATGTCTTGGAATCTAATGCGTTGCCCTGACAGTTTTACTCTTTTCCAGTTTTTTAGCATGGAGATATTACATGTATACTGGTACAAACTGCCTGATGTGGTTTATAGATTGCTTCATTCATGCTTTAGTGTATAGGCTGATATTTCAATTTTTGGATTTATTTATTTATTTATTTATTTATTTATTTATTTATTTATTTATTTATTTATTAAAATATCAAATTATTGATAATTTTTCATTTATTTATTTTTGTAATGTGACATTTTTGTAAATAAAATATTGTTCTTAGAATATCATGTTCACAGAAATGCATTTTGCGTATTATTGCTTGGTGAAGAAGAAAAATAATGTGCTTACTGGTGGAGGGGGCTGTGGTTTAGACCCCATTCCCAGAGATTAGATCGATCCAAACTAGACTGACCTAACTCCCTGGGCGTTCACGCTAAATAGCTGTTAGCCGAGCGGGCACGAAAGTTAATTACCCCCTTACAGCTTGTAGTAGGCGGGACGGACATTTAAGCCGGATTATCTGACAGTAATCTAGTGAGACTCCCCACGGGGATAGATCGATCTAAATGTCTGGGAATACGCCCTTAGATTGGTTATTGCCCAGAAAATGTGGCCATTTTCCTGTGTTTTGTACTCATAGTTCTAGTCCTTCTTGGTTTGATATTTTTCTACACTTATTTCATGCATGATAGTTTGGAAAGCTCTGTAGTTTGATTTTTGTAGAAATAGGAATATGATTTGTAATCTCCTTTCAGTATATTATAATGTGTTTTTGATGTTTAGAAATAGACATATATATGTCCGTTTTAGTCCTTACTGGTTATAGTATGAAGAAAGTTAATCTGTTTGTTTGGGGTGCTGTAGAACAATTATATTAATCTACACTACTAGTACTTAGATTGGTAACCATTATAACTGGGATTCAGTTTTACAAAAAAAAAAAAATTTTTTTCAGTTTTCTGTTTAAAAGACTGAAATATAGTACTAACTTTTACATCAAAAACGTTTGGTCTACTCCTAGCTAGGATAAATATGTAGCACAAATCTTCAAGTTGGTGAATTAAGCGAGTAATTATTTTTTACAGATTTGTTATTACATGCTGCATGCTGTGAATGTAATTTTTTATATACTTACTGTTGTTGTGCACATACTGCCATTGATGATTGTGGTTATATAATCTGATTTAAACCAGTATTCAGAATAGACATCCAATTTTATACTTTTTTTCACACAAAAGAAACAATAGTGTGGTGAATCCAGCAACTATCTGTGAAATTTAAACTGGAATTCTGTACATAGCACGTGTCATGAACATGTTTACTAGTAATTGACATGATAATACTCCAGTTGATACTTGATGAAAATAACCTTGAGACAATGTGTTTGGTTTTAGGGTTTCCTGTGCCCTATTTGTATGCAGTCATTCCACACAGCCGAGGCACTGCAGCGGCATTTTGATGATGCACATGATGAGAATAAGGTTTGTATGGAAGAAGAAGATCTGGGATTTGCTTAAAATTCTCATCTAAATGAAAAAAATGTTCTGCAGTACCAATCTTTATATTTTAATCTTATTGTTTGCTTTCTCTTAATTGAGATGTTGATACTTCAGATAAGATGATATTGTCTAATAAAAGTCAATATGAGAAGATTTTGTGGATACACTACTTTTTCTCAAGTTTATTTAAGTATTTGTCTATTTTATTTTCTATGTCTTAAAAAACTTGATTGATATTTTAAAAACAGAGAGTAAAAGGGCATATTACTCAAATAAACACAACAAATGCAATGGCAAAACAGCTGCAAAATTACCAAACTGTTGACATTTATCAGTGAAAACTGTTCTAACTTTTCAATCAGGGTTTTATCTGCCCCATGTGTAAGACAGGATTCCAGTCAGCTGAGGGCTTACAGTCTCATTATGAGAAGGAGCATGATGGCCTCGCTGAAAACAGGTACATGTAAGTTATAATTGTAATTTACAAAAAAAAAAGTATAGCACATGCAAAATGGGTGAAGGTGCTAACAGGTGGTTGTTCTCTATGTACTACTATTGTATATATATTATCCAGCAAAATTTCCACTTTCTTGTGCACAGACAAAGAGTAGTGTCTGTACATATTGCCAGTGCCTGCAACTCTGGGGTAGCGCTAGCAAATTCTTTTCACCTAGCCAAATCACCACTTTTTTGTCAATTTGTTATCCAAATGATTATAATTTGACTAAAATAAGTCTAATCAAGCCCTTTTTGTTTAGCCAATTTATGTCAGTTTTAGCATTTGGCTAAATTGATTGTTTGCTGGAGTTGGAGCCATACACATATCTTATACCCAGTTACTGAGAACCAGTGCAGCACATGTGCAGAGGTTTGGTTTAACAAAGATAGCACGATTCAAGTCAGATGCACTACATATATTTCTGTCATGTTAAAACTTATCAGTAGTATCAAATGGCTTTGGGATATATGGCTGACAGAGTTTGGATATGGTGAAGTGATTTATCTGCTTGTAATATGAGTTGCATGCCAGTATAGTTTAACTCAAGTTGTTAAAATTTTATTTGAATTTCTGTTCTCTGTCTCTCTCATTCTTACTTAAAAATCAATTAAGAAGCAAAGTGGTGTTCTGACAATTAGAACAGATAAGGTCAACATAGAAAAGCATTGCAATAACTGGAACAGACTTGTGATACAAGTACTGTGATAACATTACTATAATGGAAAATGTCAACATGAGCAAGTGTAGTCATAACTTGAGACAGAAAAGGTCAGCATGGACAAGAATTGTGAGAACTTGACAATGATGAAGTCAACATGGACAAGTATTATGATAACTTGACGATGATAAGGTCAACATTGTAAGCAGATATTGGACAAGTATTATGATAATTTGACAATGATAAAGTCAATGTAGACAAGTATTGTTATAGCTTGAGAATGAAAAGGTCAGCATGGACAAGTACTGTTATAGCTTGCATTATATTTAAATGTCTCATTTTTTTTTTTCAGAGCTGGGGATGTGTTGGCTCTAAGGCAAGAGCTAGATGACTTGAGAAAGTCTTTGAAGGTAAAAACATGTACTCAAACAAACATTACTGTTTATTCTTTAATAATAGGAGGTTAATCGGATTAATCAACCACCAGAAAATGACAGAGCCACACATTGGATCATAGTTATAAAAATGAACTGGTATTGAGATGTTAAAGTAAAAAAAAGTGTCTCTGTCAGTGTTGCACTAAAGGTACACCAAAAGAAATGTTTATTCATGATATGGTATAAATCTTTCTAGGAAGAAAGATGGTATGCAGTTGAACTGAAGAAAGAAAACGAGAGGCTACAGAGTGGAAGATCACCAACTAAAGGATCCATGGTAATAATAATAACAATGACATTTATTGGTCTGTTTCAAAAATCTGAACATGCTTTGCAAAAAAAAAAAAAAATATATAAAAAAAATTTAAGACATACTGAGACTAAAAAAAGGAAGGAGTTGATAATTGAACATGAAGAATATCAGAAGTAATAATGAATTGATAAGGTTTTTTGAACATGCCCCCCCTAAAAAAAAGTTATAATTATTATCATGATTATTTATTTTTGCATTTGAAACAGAATGTTTATTTATTTATTTATTTATTTATTTATTTATTAACAAAATAAATTTATTATTTTTACTATATTTTTAACTGTTACATTAGGACAGCGTTGAAATGGATATGATGAAGCAACAGCTGAAGGCTTCAGAAGAGAGCAGAACACTGTGTATGTATTTGTTATATTTGTTATGTGGAATGACCATTTTACTGCCATGAGTTCTGTGTTGTTACTAGTGTAGTAAATGTGTATAGTTTGTAACAGGTATGAGATTTTTCTGACTACTGGCGGTTTCTGACTTTTTGGGAGCCAAAAATATCATTGGCCTAGGCAACCCCCTGGATCCCATGCCATATTTTCTGATTTTTTCAGTAAATGGTAGCCTCATCCTTGTTGTGATTCCAGTGACACATTAGGTGTCATTTGTCCTGGTGTGATAGATTGTAGCAAATCTTAGAAAACTGGATTAGTTTCTGTTGATTATTATGAGCATACTTGCGAGGAATGCATTCGCAAAAAAATAATAACCCATGATTTTTTTTAAGCAGGGACCAAAAATGATGATGGAGGTATGCAATTTTTCGTAGTATTTTCACCCTGTTGGCTACAATAAAATTGGAATCTGATGAAAATTTACTCCAGAGCATAAATGCTTACATACCAATTGTATCTTGTTAGCAACCCACCAGCTTGTGTGTATGTGTACAAGTATTTTCGTTGATGTCTATGGCTGTACTATTCCTTATCCATGGTACCTTCCTGGTCTTTTGGGATGGGGAGGGGTTGCAGGGGAGAAAAAGCAAACAAACAAAAAACAAAACCAAAAAGTTTTTATTGGAATTTTGAAGGTAATTGGGAAGTAGATTTTTGTTGAACGTTTAGAAAAAGGTAATACCAATGAGGGTTGTGAATTGTGGAAGTGAAAAAGTTATTTTTACCCATTCCTAATGAAAGGCATACCATGTGCAGAAAAAACCTTTAGATTATAGCAGCAATAACATAATACGAAGAAGATATATATTTTCATGGAAATTTCAGCAATCCCCATACATTGTTAAGGTGTACCCATGTAAATGCCATTAATTTCAACATTGTAAGCAGATATTGTCTCTCACCAACCTTGACTTAAGATTTTTTTCATTTTTCTGTAAACAATTTGACAGCTTGACTATTAATATATTCTATCTGTATTTAATGAGTTATCTTTTTGTTAGCAAATAGAAAATTAATAAAAAGTAATGTATTTTTATGGAAATTTCCACTCTTGTTGTGATTCTTTCCTTCCTTTGAAGTGTCTGTGGAGGTGAACAATATGCAAAAAGAGCTGAATGAAGCTGCACAAAAACTGAAAGATCACAATGAGGAAAAGAAGATGATAGAGCAGAAAGCTGCAAAGCTGGTAACCAGATCAGTTTCTTTACTTCAACAAAATCTTATCATGGAATCTCAATATGATTTATCAAAAACTTAAAAGGAAATTATTTTCAGCAATTTATAGTGTATAATATTTAAAATTATGTTATGATCAATGCTAATTATTACAAGTTGTTAAGAATCCATAATATTACTTTGATATGATTTTATACAAACTATGACAAGCGTATGTATTAGGTGAATTGAAGATGAAAAATTGTACTCGGTAAATATGTACTAGACTTTTCCCAATAATTATTTTCCAGGCAGGGGATGTGGTGTTATACAAGGCCAGGGCAGATGAAGCAGAGGGACAGAAGACTGCTTTAGAAGATCACATTTTAACTCTCAAGGTTCTCCTTTTAGATGAATCGATATCAATAAAAATTCTAAGATAATAATTTTTTTCTAGTATTTTAAACACTTTCTTTTTGTATTTTTGAAGTAATAAAATTTTAAGAGATGAAAATGATTTTAAAAAATGATAAGAGAATTTTATATAAATTCATTGAAGGCAATATAAAGTGAAATTAAGTATTAGGAGTAAGATGTCTGCTAGTTATTCCTGGATTTATTAATTTTGTTGCTTTGTGGAACAGAAGAGATGGAAGAATACAGTTCAGTAAAACTTGAAGAGGTTATTATCTTAATATTTTTGCAAAGTGAGCTTGTTTATGTGTGTGAGTGAATTATATTCAGTATTGTTGATTTATTTCATAATTTCATTTCAGAGTCAACTTAATGACAAGACTGTGTATGCCCAGAGTTTAGAGACTTCACTTGCTCAAAGGTAATGATAAATTTTAAATATAAATTATCATAATAATATAGTCTTTGTAATTAATTGTTAGCCTAAGGTAGATGTTGCTGTCTCAGAGATATTTACAAAATGATACAAAATGATACAAAAAATGCATTTGACTGTTCAGGACACAAGAATCCAGTAGGTCATAGAAAACAGAAACATTGGCCAGTAACTGGACAAATAAATGAAATTTTTCTAGCCTGCCTTCAACTTTACAGGTATTTAGTGTTACTAAACTGTTATAATAATAATAATAATAATAATAATAATAATAATAATAATAATAATAATAACTGAAAGATGTGCTGTTGTACCTTCTTCTGGGCAGGACAGAGACCACCCCTCGCTGCTCACAGACTGAATAGACTGTGGTGACTGCCTCTGTGTATAACCTGTGGAGGGTTCAGTAAAGTCATACTCAGACTCCTGAGGCTTGCTAGTAGGGAGTAAAACAAAACTGAACCTATTTGTGAATGTGCTTTTTAACAAAGTGCTGTTTAATTCATCTTCTCTATCTGTATATTTGCCAGCTTTGCTGTCTATTAAATTCATCTTTTGTATCAGGCCTGGTGCTGATGATGTGATGGTGCTGAAGCAAGAGTTGGTGCAGACACACACCATGATGGACCAGCTGGCACAGGAGAAAGAGGCAGAGAAAGAAAAGATGGAGAAGGACTATGAAGAGTTAAAGACTAGATATCAAGAGTAAGCTTGTTTTGTTTTTTTACTGGCAGCTTGAAGTTTCCACTTTCAATTTATAAATTTAATGAAGATACAGTATATCAAGAACAAGCATGATTCATGATAGTAGCAACTACTAGATTTCAATGTTAATGTTTCACCTATTTAAAATAAGTTCTGCTTAGCAAAATTTTGACAAAAATATGTGCCTAATTGAGCATTTTTCTGCCTTATGCAGTAGATAGGATATATGTTTATTTAAAACTATGGTGAAAAAAGTATACAATATTTTTCTTAGATACTAATTTAGTTTAGTTAATTTAAGTCATGGTTGATGGTTTCAGATGATCACAATCAGAAACTACATATTTATAATATTGCTTGACATGTGGAAAGTAGTATTTTATTGATGAAAAAAATGAAACAGAAATTAACAAATACAAAAAATGAAAGTGGTGGCTAATGAATTGACATTGAATTATTTTTTTGGTCAGGAGTGAGCAATTGACTAGGGAGCTGAGGGAAGAACTGGCTAGGGCTCCCAAACTGGAGGAGTTACAGAGGTAAAAAAATGTTTTTATTTCCTTCTAAAAACAGTTATTATTATTTTTATTTATTATTATTGACAAAGACACACTTAAGAATGGATTTTTCAGTTGTGCTTACAACAATTGTTTCATTTGATCATATTGATTAAAACTATTTGAATATGTTTTCTTTACCAAATGGACAGTTTTAATTAAAATGTCTCTTTTGTTTATGTCCTGTGTTTTCTCCCCTTAGACTCCAGGCATCTGCTGCAGACTCCAGCTCTGGCTCTCAGAAACTCCTGGAGTCCTTGCAGAAAAAGCAAGAAGAGGCAGCAATGTTACAGGGACAGCTAGAACAAGTAAATACATCCATAAGTTACTTGGGATTTCATTCAGAAATGGCTGTTATATGATTTATTTTCAGAACCGATGTTTGAGGGAATTAGTTGGTTGAAACTAAGTTTAACTTAGTTTCATTTAAATATAAAGCATTTTATTATTATTGCAATGCTCTTAACATTTTATGTTCAACTTCAGCCCACTGGGTTGCTGTCTTAATGAATAATAATAATAATCATATTATTATTATTAGTGGTAGTAGTAGTAGTAGCCCCGAGTTTCCCCAAGACGTTGAATTAACTGAACTTGATCTTTTTATATTTGCAGTTGCGTCAGGAAAAACTGCAACTTGACCAAACTCTACAGGAAAAATGTTCAGAAATTGGAAAACTGAACAAAGAATTAGAAACCAGGGGAAACAGTCTTCACCAGGACATAGCAACTCTCAAGGAGCAGCTGAAGGAAAGGGACCAGACCATCCAACAAAAGGACTCCAATATCAAAAGTTTAAGGGAAGACATAGGTGCTAAAGAGACATTATGCAATGAATTGCAGGAAGAAATTTTAGAGAAGGAAAAGTCACGAGAAGAAGTCAGAGAGCAGATGAGAGAAAAGCAACTGGTTTACCAACAGCTTGAGCAAAAGTTTACAGAGATTGAACAAAAAACACACGACATGCAGCAAACTTTGAATGAAAAGGATAGTTACTTGCAAGAGATGCAGCAGATTATCTCTGATAAGGAAGAGAGCAGTCAGCAGTTTCAGCAGCTCTTGCAGTCCAGTCAAGAAAATTGTGAGCAGCTTCAGAAACAGTTGGGAGAGTTGGAACAGAGGAATGTACAATTGCTAACATGTGTTGAGGAAAAGGAACAAAGCCTCAAGGAAATTCAGGAAGATGTGATGAAGGTTTGTGTGTACCAAGTTTTTTTATGATGGATTTTTCGTAGCTTTCAGTTATGTAAAATGTAGTTTAATATGATTACATTTAGAATGTTTCTTTTAAATAATCACAAATGCTAGCAATAAATTAGTCAATATGTAAATAAATATATAAAAATGTAAACAATTAATTAATAAAAAAGAGAAAGCTTTTCAAAAATAGACAAAGAATAGAACAGGGGATAACTTGCCATGGTGAGTTATTGACCATCTGTTAGAGTAAGATTAAGATGTAATATTTTACTTTATCAGATGCCAAGTGTTTAAATGTAATTTTGCATTTTTTCTAAGACCTAAAACATATATTTTGTGTCATTTCAGACCAAGGCAGCTATGGCAGAGAAGGAAACTCATCTAGCATCTTTAACTCAACAACTCGGGGACACCAAGCAATCCTCACAAGGGCAGCTACATGAGAGAGAACAGCAGTACACTGCTCTGAAACTGGAACTGGACAAGGTAGGCCATACTAGGGAAACACAAATTATCAATTAGACCCCATTCCCACGGATTTTAGATCGATCTATCCCCATGGGGAGTCTCACTAGATTACTGTCAGCTTAGCGGGCTTAAATGTCTGTCCCGCCTACTAAAAGCTGTAAGGGGGTAATTAACTGTCATGCGCGCTCGGCTGACTGCAGTTTAGCGTGAACCCCCAGGGAGTAAGGTCAATCCGGTTGGATCTATCTAAATCTCTGGGAATACACTCTTAGACCATTATATAATAGCAAAATTTTAATTTTGCTGTAATTTTTAGTACCGTTCCATTAACCCAGAATGATATGCATGCCTTCATTTTATTTGCATTTTTGTATTACTGGTTATTTATTTATTTATTTATTTTAATATTATATTTCAGTCTGTAAACCAAGTTAAGGTCCATAAAGCCAGTATTGAGGATCTGACAAAGCAGCTAAATGATGTTCACATAAGACACCAAGAAGAGGTATACACTTGGCAAAGGATTAAGAGTCACTAGAAGATAGTTTGAAATTAAAATTGAAAATTTGAAATTAAATTGAAAAACATGTTGTTATGAGTTCATCTAAACCCTGTTGCATTATGTGTATTATTTTATTCATTTCTGCCTTTCTCCCTATTATGACATAACCATGAATTTTCAGTTGCTCAGTGTAATTTTCCTGGTTTCCAATTGATCATTTTAGTCCTCCAGAGCCGAGGAGTTCAGAGTTCTGCTGAGAGAGAAGTCCGGGGAATTGGAGAATGAAATAAGAAGTAGAGAAGCAAGGTAGTTATCAGTGGAAGAGAAAACAAAACTAGTAGACTATTTGATAGCTAAGTGTTGAACTTTGCATTAGATTGCAAAATATGCTTATAGCTTATGAAAGAAATAAATACTAGCTACTAGTATAGTGAACATTATCTTGAAATATGCTTTGACTATACCTTGATATTTTAATTAAAATTTGAGATTTTGGCTCTCTCAAAAGAAAAAATAAATCCTCTTCTCCAGGATTCATTTGGAATTTCTATAATCTTTTATAATTGCTAGTTTTGAGAAAGTGCTTTGCATTTTGTGATGTATGTTTTGTATAAGAGTTATAATGTTATTATATCCTGTAGAAAAAGAAGGATTGGAACCATGAAGGTTATTACTTTACCTTACAGTTATGTCTTATCATGTGTGTTATTATATTGCCTCATTCTACATGTTCTTTGTTTCATTGGTGAATTTCCCTTTTTCTATTCTTTTTTTCTATTCAACTTAGGGATTCTAAAATCAAAGAGCAGGAAGGCATTCTGTCATCACTCAGGGAAACCATAGACCGCATGGAGACGGAGAAGACAGACCTTATAGCGAAGGTGATATTTTCGTAGTGGTAGGACAAAGAATTTTGGGATAAACATGTAAATGTGCTGCATAAAATTTGCATAATGTCACTACAGTACAAGCTGATCTCAAGGATATTGGACTAAAAAGTTAACATTTAGCTTTTGTTATCTTTTTTTACCAGAATTTATATTTTGTTGATTTTAGTGACTTTTTCTCCTATTTATAGATAGAAGCTGGGGAGGGAGTGGCCACTGCCATCAATCAACTTAAACAGGAAAATGTGAGTATCGTGATTGAAAATTTAAGCCTAGATTACATTTGAAATGCGATGCCCGTACGGTGCACGTATACTGCCCATAATACACTTTTCATACGGCATCTGAGCGGAGGTAAATGGTGGCCGTGCGAAATCACACGGAAACGTACTGCTTTAAGACCATGTTATGTAGACATACTCAGCGTAGCCCGTAGCTCCTTACAATTTCAAAATAAAATCGTACGGACAATCTCATGGCACGGCACCCTTGTAAATGTAATCAAGGCTTTAGGGAAGTTTGTGCAGCTGTGAATTTTACTGAGTCAGACTGTGTGAAGTCTACTGCACTTACAATTCCAGGAATCAATGTCATTTTTCAGTAATTTTCCGACTTGTTTCTTAGGCAACTCTCCATGAACAACTGACTAATGCAAAGAAGACCTTGGAAACTCAGGGTGAGGAGAACCAGAAGAAGGAAGAGACCCTGTTCAAGCAGCTCCAAGAAGTAAAATCACAGCTTGCAGATGTCCAGGAAAAGTGCGCCAAGTCTGAGGTGGGCTTGACCGAGAAAGGGGAGAAACTGGCATCTGCGCAACAAAGGATTATCGAGCTGGAGACTGAGATAAAGAGCAAGGTTGGTTTTATTTAGTTTGCTGTCAATTTTGAGGTAATTTTGTAATTTTATCTACTAATTTTTTTTTATTTCAGGTTGAAAACAGTTCTTGAAAACATATTGTTCATTTGCTCATTCTTTTCTTGGGTTATTCGTTACTTTGACAAATGTGTATTGGTTCATGCGTTAAAATACCCACTCATCCATTCATATAATTCTTTAACTGTGCAGCATGAAGTGTTACTGGCCACAGAAGCAGCTAAGAGCAGCCAGAGAGCTGACCTGGAGAACCACATCAAGACCACACAGGCAGCACTGGAGGAGAAAACCCAGGAGCTGAACTCCATCAAACAGCAGCTGGAACAGGTATTTGGGACAGATAGTATCTGGAGCAAGCAGATAGGGCTTAAAGTATTTTTTGAGCTATATGATATGAATTAATTCAAAAATGATTTATGTTCTGTATGAAGTAAGTTTAATACAAAAAATAACATGTAAACAATATAGTTTCCGGTGACTGATTTTCTTTAAAATTTGTATTGCTTGATTTCAGACAAACTTCCCAGAAACTTAAAATTATTATGTGCACCTTTTTAACCTGTGTATAAATTTTTCTTCACTCTGCCTCAGGTGACAGGTGAATTGAACTCCCGTGGTGACCAGTGCAGACAGCTGGATGTCACCTTAAAGGAAGCCAAAACCAGGTGCAATGATCTGGAGCAGAAATGTGTGGCAGCACAGGCAGATATTGCCAGCAAGGTGATGACATACTCAGGGATGAGATTTTTTCAACAATTGGCATATTTCTGACTTTCTGAGAGGCAAAAATATCATTGGCCTTTTTTAAAATGCCATATTTTCCAACCTTTTTACTAAATGGTAGTCTCATCCCTGCATACAGCCCATGGCCATGGCCATTCTCATAACACATTCCTGGTGTAACAAATTGCTACAGTGACTGCTATTAACTTACCATGGTTGATTGCAAAATTGTTAGAAATCGTTAAAACATTGTGACAATATGGACAACTGGTAGTTTTGCTAAAGTGATCTATATACTGACTGATATGGTGATCTATGTACTGACAATCTGTTAAACTATGGAGCACTTCAAGATCCTAGTCTTCAACTAAGGACAAAAACAAAGAGTTATTAAAATTGTTTGAGACCCAGATTTAAGTTAAAGTAATGTAATCACTTCTTTCCCCTCTGAAGAACTGTCTATACAGAAAATTTCATAAATATTTGTTCAGAACTTTTTGAAATATCTTGTCCATGAACAAACAATCACTGGTGAAAACAGAATCTCCTTTTATTTATTGCCTTTTTAATATGGTAATTTTAAATGCTATAAATTGAACTTGTAGGTGACTGCTTTGGAAAAACTTCAAGGTGAAAAAGCAGACCTAGAGAAGAAATTAAAAACTGCTAAAAGTGATGGAAGAGAGAAAGAGAACTCTCTCTCAAAGGTATAATTATAGTTTATGTGATGTCTGGGATGTAATTTTTTGTTTAAAACAACAGATTGCTTTATGTTTTTAAATGTCAAGTGTGTTTAAGTCAGCAATGTAAAAGAATATATTTTCACTGTAAAGCTTAATGGCATAGCAACTCTTCAAATGAGATTCAACATTCCACTATAAATACTTGTAAACAACACATAGAAGTATAATAAATTCCATTTTACCACAAAAATGTCAGTAATTTTGAAATCTGTACTTGCCATCAGTACTTGGACCTTCATACATGGCTATCTTCAGTAATAATCTCTTAAGGAATTATTACAAAAACACGCTTGACAAAATCAACTAACTTTGAATATCATTGGTAAGTATTATAACATATTTTACCCCAGGAAAACCACTTAATAATAATAATAATGTGGGACTTTTCACACCAAAATTAAAAGTTGTTATTCCTATAATTAAACTTATGAACAGAAAGTTTTTGTTTGCTGGTAGGTTGACTTTCAGGGTAAAACTTCTACTACAATAAATTTTAATAAGGGTTCAAATTACTGTTTTTCTTTTTATCAAGAGCTTGTAAAATATGTGGGTATTACCTCCAATATTTCTGTGACTGTCAGTCACCATCATCGGGGAGTAAATGACTAGGGTCATTTCACCTGGAATGAAAATCCAGGTCAATTGCCCCTAATCACTGGCCTTGTGTTGTAACTGTTACTTGCTCCCCCCGGGGCTCCTCTGCATCCCTCTGGAGCACCGTGAGGTAGATAGCTGGTAAATCATACCCCCCCTGTCTGTTCAGGTCTGGTTGTTTGGTCCTGATGTGTACAGCTTCTGCTATTTTTCTTTGGAATGTCCAGTTTTCCCTCTCTATCACTTTCAGGCTGTCAAAGTCTATGTGGTGACCTGGATGTTTGCAGGTATGTTCTCCAAGGGCTGATTTCCAGTTGTTTTTGGCCACTGAGTCTTTGTGTTCTTTCATTCTTGTGGCTAATGGTCTTCCTGTCTCGCCAATGTATTCTCCTTGGCAGGTTCCACATTTGACTGAATATATCACACCACATTGCTCTCCTTGGGTTAGAGGATCCTTGGGCTTCACTAGTGCTTGTCTCAGCGTCCAACCTGGCTTATGGTGGAGTTTGATGTTATATTTTTTATAAACCCGGCTTAGTTTTTCTGACAGACCTTGGCAGTATGGTAACACTATACTCTGCTTTGCACCCTCAATGAGGCCCATTGCATCCTTTTCTTTGTCATGTCTGTTCTTGCCTCTTTTTTCCCATATTTTACAAGCTCTTGATAAAAAGAAAAACAGTAATTTGAATTTATACATACAGAGCTAATGAAACTGTTCTCTCATTTAATAAGGGTTATTTTTGCAGGCTAATTCCGAAAATGAGATACTGTCATCAAAACTGAGCAAAGCAGAAGGAACATTGAAAGAAATATCAGAGAAGCTGGTCACCACAGAACAGAAAGTTGAAAAAACTGCTGAAGAACTGAAAGCAAAGGTAATTTTACAATCATGCAAAAACAGCTTCATGTCTGGTCAAGTTTCAGTAAGGAAGAGAAACTCTGAAATAGGATGATGAATATTCACCAAATTTGTTCTTTTTCTAATTTTTGGTAGAATGCTGAAAACAAGAAGTTGACTGCTGAAAAATCCAAGTTGGAACAAAAGTTGTCAGCTGTGTCCAGTGAGCTACAAGAGAAAGAAACCTCCCTGAAAAAGGTATAATTGTAACTAGGATTAGTGGCTGGCATTTCAACTATGTTTTTTGTTTTTTGCTTTTTATATAAGAATTTGAAACCTAGGGAAAATAGATAAGCTTATTTTTTCATTTAATATTATTATTTTAACCTTATTTGATATGAAAAAGAAATATGATAACAAAAAATATTTTCTTATTTCTTGTATATTACAATACCAAAAAATAAAATAGAAATTGTGGTTGTTTTTTTTTTTTTTTTCACATATCTTATGATATCCCAATCCTTTAAATATTTCCTTAATTTTAGCTGACAACTGACCTAGAGTTATCCACTGTCCAGTGTCAAAGGTTGGAGACAGAAAGTAACAGCAAAAGTGACCAGCTGACCAAGCTGCAGGGAGACTTTGACCAGTTGACCAAGCAGCTTGGGGACAAGGTGAGAGGAATGTTAAATCAATACTGTGACAGGAGTTTGGAAGCTAGTGGGGATGCAGTCTACTCCTTGAACCTATCAGATCACTTGTTACATAGAGACTTCAGAAAACTACAAGTGCAACATCTGGTCAAAACTTTAGAAAAAATTCAAAGATGAAATCTAAAGATTATAGAATGGAACATAATAATTATAAAAACCTGTAATATGTACATCATTTTTATCATGCTATAAAAACTATTGATTTCTATTGTTTTTTTCCAAGTCTAATGCCAATTTTATTGCCCATTGTATGATGGCTTGTGTAGCAGACAGGGAATGTTATAAAGATTATAACAACATACGTTACTGGCCTGGGTGTAATGCTCCCATATTGTTTCCTTCTAAATTACTAGTATGGAGCAGTTACCAATTTATCATGAAATTAATGGTAAAAATGAAGTAGACTTTTTTTGTCATTTTTAGCAAAGTTAATAAGTTCAAAGATAATCATGTTACTGTATCAATAAATCTGCTTACTTTTGCATTGATTTTAAATCTGTTGGCTTGTTTCTAGAAATTGCTTATATTGTGCATGTTTTTATACATAATTTTTTATAAATTTAATAAATAGAAGGTTGGTTTCTAATTTTAAGACTAGGGAACTAGAAACCCAAGTTGCTCTGGGGAAGACACTGCAAGGAGATTTGGAAAATGCTAAAAGAGATCTTCAGCTAAAGGGAGAAGAGTTGCAGGGAGCAAGACAGGCTTTGGAAGAAGTGAGAAATTTGTGTGTGTTTGGGTGCAAGTGGATGAAGATACATGTGTAAAACTTTAATCATGCAAGCTAGCAAGATGATTATATACAAAAGGAAAAAAATACAATACAAATGCAAAAAGAAAAAAATCAAAAGAGCCCTACTCTCATTATCAATATTCCAAGTAAGTCTGCTTTATTTAATCAACACTGGATAAGATTCAAACCCAATCTGTATGAAATCAGAGATATGCGTTTAAGAAGACTAGCTGAACTGAGATATTCAAGAGGTTGCAACCATTACTTCTATTTGTCCTTAGGTAACGAGAGAACACACAACAACAGTGGAGTCACTTAGGCAGAGCTCAGAAACTTCAGTACAAGATGTGAAAAATGCCAAGCAGCAAGTGGAGGAGAAGGTAGTGATTAGAATGTCATTAATCCTGCATAAAGTTATACTGAACATAAACATGCATGCTTGGGTTTGTGCGTACACACTCACAAACACACACATGCAGAGATGCTCACATGCATAAAATTTATCATGAGCTTTCGTCTGTAGACATGCATGTGCATGTATTGGTATCTGAATCAAAATTAAATTGAATAGTTTTCCATTTTACTTTATAAATTAAATGAAGTTTTGTAATAGATATCTTAGCTTCTTTAATATGTACTAGCTAAATTCTGGGGTCTTCATTATATATTTTAAACAATAAATAGTTAAAACTAAATTCAGGGGATGAAGAGGCCTCAGGATTTCCTCTTTTTCAAGTATTCTCTTGCTTTATTCCTGTTTCTTAAGTTCAGTTTTGTAAGGATGTTTTCCTTTCTTTTACAGCTGAACCAGATGGCTGCAGAGAAAGAGGAACTTTTACAGGTAAAATCTCAACTTACTAATGAGGTAGGCTCTTACAAACAGGCCTTGGAAGGACTGAGGAAGGAATTTGAAGACACCAAGGAACAATTGAATCAAGAAAAGGTATTCTGTTACTGAAGTCAAATTGTTTACTTTTATGTGTATAGGCATCATCCGAGGCAATATTGCATGGCATCGTATGTGACTAGAAAAAGTGGGAGAGTCACCATGAATTCTTTGTGCTGGGGATTTTGTCATATAAGAAAGCAATACAGACATATGCACAAATATAATTCAAAAGAAGAAAACGCTCAAAAAAATCTATGGATAAGTCCAGCCAACTGTAATCTCTAAATCAAGCAGAATGTCTCTAAATTTTGTGCTAATTTGTGAGACTTTGGGCTATTACATTTTCACATATTTTCTGCTTAATGTCTATACATTTGAGAGCCTTGCTATCTTGTTTTTCAATCATTGATGTATGGGTTCTTTGTAGACTAAGTTACTTGACCATGTGCAGCAGACCAGGGAAGAAAGGGACCACTCAGTCAGGGATTTGAAGACACAGATACAGCAGCTAGGTGAAGAAGTAAGCCAGTTAAAGGTATGAACAGGACAGTGGATTGGTATTGGTTGCTTTGAACAATTTATACCATTATACTGTAGTGGAATTTAAGAAGATTTGTTTTCAATTATCTTAAATATGGATATATAGATTCGAATATTTTAAATATGCTATTTGCTTGGTTCTTACCATAATTCTAGTAAATTTTACATCACCACCTTATTGTATTGTAGTCATTTGGCTGTTTCAGTTGCAATTGCTTCATCAACAAAAGGGGTCTTTTTGCAAATACAGTTTTTATTTCAATATTAACAGGTGTTTCTTGTTAGTAATTTTGCATGATGTATATTTTGCGAGTATTTAGGAGGTTTTTGTAGTTCATTCAGCTTATTTTTGCAGGTTTCTCTAGAACAGAAGTCACAAGGTGAAGCTGTAACAAAAACAAAGGTAAGACAAAAACATCATGTCTTGTCACACAGTAAGTAAGAAAATGTAACNACTTTATGAAATGGCTGCTATATTTATTGTGTTTTTCAAAAAATTCTGAATAGATTGTGTTATGTGAATTTAATAAATATCCCCTTCCTGCATGCTCACACTCAAAAAATACTTGCTTACACAAAATGTTGAAGTCCTGTCAATTCTTTTTACAGATAGTAAAATTACAGACTAAAGAACAAGAATTTCAGTCCAGTCTAGAAAAGAAGATAACTGAGTATAAGGTAAATAAATATAAAGAAACAATACTTCTGGCAATAATATCTTTGATGGTTTCTTTTGTTTTTCAGATTTATTCAGTCAAGGCAAATAGCCATTTTCAGTTATCTTTTCAGTCATGAGCCTCTGGTTTTATACTTGACAGGGCATATTTGTTCATATGTTCGATAGGTTTTGATAAACATCTTATTGCTTTATAAGTGGTATGGTGATTTCAATTACCCCATAGGCCTATATATAAAAACCACTGTGCTTAGTTTTTAGTTTTCTCCTACCCCATCCAACACCTCCCCCCTTAAACATTTCCTGGTTTACCATTTCAGCAATAGCAAATTCTTGCTCTCTGCCAAGTATAAAACCATGTCACAATAATTTGCCGTAGTATATTACCATAGTATATTTTAAATACTTTGTTTTTTGTTTTTATTATTTTGTTTATTATTTTGTTTTCTATTCAGACACTTCAAAAGGAGTGTAGCAATTATGAAGAACAAATTGTAAAATTGCAGCAGCAATTTAGAGTAAGTGACCAGTATTTATATTTTATTCCGAAAACCATCAGATATTCAAAGAACAGACATTGGAAGAACAGAAATATGTCTGGAAAATAATGACGCATGACTGTATTGTCTCAACTGAATGTTTTAATTAAGAATCTGCATTAACTTAAAAGTACCTACTGCTTAATTGATTCTCCATGTTTTCAAATAATAGGATGAAAATGAAAAAGTCAACAAACTTCAGAAAGAGCTACAGAACACCAAGCTAGCACTTAAAGAGACTGAAGAAAACCTGCAGCATGCTACAGCAGAATTGGAGAAAGCTCAAGATAATGAACTTTCGCTTAATAACTCAATTGAGGAGATTTCTGAGGTGAGATCAGCTGTTGTCATGCAGAATTTTATCATATTCATTCCTTTATTTGATGTCCAATTCACTATGAAGTCCATTTAGAATTGAATTAAGTTGGGAATATTTCCTAACATTTTAAAAAATGGCCAAAAATGTATTATTTTTCTCGTTTCAAAGAGACAAAGCGTGTTTTCTTCTTGTGTACCATGACAGAGATGGAACCCCATCCTGTCTATGATGACATCTGAATTTCGGGAGTTCACAAGTTGATCAAGGCCCTTTGGTGAAAGATCAAAACATATCATGCCATACTGATTGAAAACACCTGTCTTTTTGATGACAAAAATCTCTGTTACCATCATTACATAAGAGACAGTGAAAACCATATCTATTATTTAACCCTAATAGTGTTATACAGGGGCGGATCCAGAGAGATTTTGTGACAGTCTTCCAAATTATCTTTATTGATCCATCCTCCATTTTTGACTGTCTTCCAACAAAAAAAATAGAAACCCATCAATGTAAACTTGAAAATCTGACTGTCTTCCAGAAGACGGCCTAAATCCGCCCCTGTTATATACTGGTTCTATTCTCAGGTTAAGTCCTCGTTGGACGGCAGGATTTTACAACTGGACACAGACCTGAACAAGGCTGTTTCAGAAAGAGACTCACTGACGGAGGAAAAGGTGAGATTGGTTACAGTATTATATAATTCTCAGAAAGAGACTCACTGACGGAGGAAAAGGTGAGATTGGTTACAGTATTATATAACTCTCAGAAAGAGACTCGCTGACGGAGGAAAAGGTGAGATTGGTTACAGTGTAACATAATTCTCAAAGAGAGACTCACTAGTAGAGGAAAAAGAAACATTGATTTTATTACGTGACTCTCAGAGAGAGAGAGAGAGAGAGAGAGAGAGAGAGAGAGAGAGACTTATGAAGGAAAAGGTGAAATTGATATAATATTTGTACATTACTTTCAGAAAGGGACTGAATAATGTGAAAACTTTCCAGCAAGTATTTTGAAGATGAAAGATATGCTAAAGCTAGAAAGTTGCATATTTGCCTTCTGAAGCTCACTATCTGTTACCCAGTGACTACAATATTCTTTAATTTGATAACGTTTTCATTAAAATGTGAATATGAACAATCATTTATATTTAAAAATTTGAAGGGAGATACTAGTAGCTAGGGGTTGGAGGGGGGGACAAGTAGATATATAATCATTGCCCTTAAACTATAGCCCTTACAATTTCATTGATTTGGTTGTGTGAAGTTGTATGTTGTATGATTCTAGGACAATTCCCCCCTGGACAATCCCCCCCCCCCCGGACTAGTCCCCCTGGACAATTCCCCCCCAGGACAATTTCCCCCCCCCCCCCCGGACGATTCCCCCCAAGAAATATATATTTATATACAATATAAAGTGTAAAGTTTAAAACAATTCATCCATTTTATTAATATTTTAGTGTGATAATATAACTTCATCATGAAACAAATAATTTTATAACAAAGTCCCTTTTCATTGAATACAAGTACAGGAAGATTTATTGAGTATCTAATCGAAGTATAACCACCTATCCTTCAGGTAAAAGTGGGGTAAACAGATGAAAAGGTAAACAGATATTTTATAAATATTTTAGTGTGGTGGGTGGTGGTCAAGCAATTAAAAGTGACAAATAGTCACAGGGATACCTGGATATGAGGGAAAATCTGTTTACCCCACCTCTCCCTAGAAATGCACCTTGATTCAAGACTTACTGAATCAAGGGGGGGGGGGAGAAATAAAGCAATTAAAAGTAACAGTTAATTCATCAAAGGGCTACCTGGATGAGTGAGATCATCTGTTTACCCCTCCTTTACCTGGATATATATATATATACTTTGATCAGATTTTTAATAAAATGTTCTGTACTTCTATCTCAAAAATTTCATGTACTTTTACTCCTTGAAAAGAAATTGTTTGATAAAATTAATATTATCTATCCTTGATTTGCATCATCACACTAAGAAATATTCAGAAAATGGATGAAAAGATTTGAACTTTTATATTTGTATATAAATATATATATATTCTTCAGGGGGAGGAATCGTCCGGGTGGGGGGGGGGGGGGAATTGTCCTGATACCATGTTGTATTATTTAAACTTTCGTTTTCAGAAACAAATTTCAGGAGAACTTGATGGTCTCAAGCAGAAGTATCAGAACTTGACAGAGGAGAAGGCAGCTGTGGATTCAGAACTTGCGTCTCTTAAAGTCACGTTAGAAAAAGACCGCCAAGATGCCACACAGGTATGTATGTGCATGTACCAGTAGGTGCATGTGCGTGAACACAGAAGCCAGCAGTTTTATTTTTCTTTTGCAAATCAAGTATTTTCATTATTATTTGATGATGATGTGACTTAACAAATTGTGCTCATTTTTGGGGTCAAGTATTTGTTTGTTTGTTTATATCTATTTTGATTAAATTGTGATGTACATGTAAGTTTCTCTCTCTCTCTTGGATAATCTTTTCATATTCTAGTAAGGGCCTTAGTACTATATATATGCTTTGTTATTGACAATCTATAATACTTTGATTGAAAGTACTGTTATTGGTTATGCAACCTCTAAATTTTTGGCTATTATAGTACATTATCTGTTATAAGACCCCACTTTCAGTCCTGACTGTCTATTTGTTTATGCCAGGAAATTAATAGTCTGCAAGAAGCCAAGCAGTTACTTATTACCCAGAAGTTGGAGCTACAGGGGAAAATAAACCAGTTAGAGGAAGACATGAATAAGGTAATCCTTCTTTATTTTCTTCAGTATATTTAGACATAGTATATTGCAGATTTAGCAGTGGCTGCATTATGTGGTGCCCAGTCATCATCATTGCCAGGTGAGTTATGAAGTTTATGCCCACCTTTAAATTTTTCCCTCTCACATATTAAGTTAAAAGATATGTTAACTTATATCACCGTTTTCCTCTAGTACTTTTATCTAAACCTGAACATATTGATAACTTATTGCCCAAAGATTCTAGACTGTCAATTTCTTAGAATGCATTCGCAACGAGTTGAGCCATGGGGGTACAGTCATTAAATCTTGCCTCCACACGTCTCCCCATGCGTCGTCCCTGCAGGGGTACAGTCATTAAATCTCAACTCCATTGGGACGACACATGGGGAGGCGTGTGAGAGAGTGTGAAGATTAGGTGGTTTTTCTTTCACGTACTTCCGCCATATTTAGTTCCAGGATTTGTAAAGCCATGGCTCAACTCATTGTGAATGTGATCTTAGGTAAAAATAGCCAAAAGTTTATAATATATAACAAAGACAAATGTGTCATGACAAAAATTATCTTAATTGTGTTAGTGTGCTTAAATCGTTTTTCATTTAAAAATCTTTATATAATTGTTAACTTATGGTAAAGACTTGCCCACTTACACTGATAGACCTGTCTTTCAAATTCATCACAGATTGCCTGTGCCTGTTTTTTCAAGAAAACTAAAGTCTAATTGCACCCATGGGCAGTAAATGGCATGAAGTATTTATTTATTTGCATGTATTGTTTTTTACTGAAGATTTGTATTTTGTTTAGGTTAAAGCTGAGAAAGAAGAAAGTGCAGAAGTGGCCAAGAATGTTCAGATGATGTTGAAGGAAGAAAATGCTGGGCTGCAGCATAAGCTGGTATGATTGTTAAAGATTATGTCAGAATGTGATAAAAAAAAAAACCCTTTCAATCTACTGGCCCCTTGAGCCACCCGAGTCTAAGAGGCCATTCCCATACCTTATCGTACTAGCAGGATTGATCTATCTCAGAGAGGTTTCTCACGAAATTGCATTAAGTTTAAGCATGAGTGAAAGTTAATTCCCCCCCCCCCCCCCCCCCCAGCAGCCTCAGTGGGTGTGACAGATATTTAGGGCACTGCAATTTAGCAAGAATCCCCTTGGAGTTAGATCGATCCTGCTAGTACTATAGGTTTATGGGAACCCAGTCTAAGAATCTACTGCTCCAAAGCAGGGGCAGTGGCCAATAACTGAACAAATTTACCAAATTTTACTGGACTGGCTTTAGTTTAAATGGCATTTTGAGTGGGGCTAGTGTTGACATCACCTACAGTTGCAGTACAGTCAGTTATGACAGAACAAAATTTTCTGTGCAAAATTCAAAATTATTTCAAATTTTTCTTACATGATGACAAATAGTAAATTAGTATTTGATTGACAGTTGTGACCCAAAATATAATTTTAAACAAAATGAATTGTTTCTTTTAAAACTATTAAATTATTTAATTAAGAAATTTAAGGCTACTTTATCAGTGATGTATCAGTCAGTATTCCACTTGGTGACTTGGATTTGACATTATTACTAGTAATAATAATAAGAAGAAAAAAGAACTGATCCAGTTACAAATATATTGTAGTATATAATACATGTAATGTCACAAGTAAAAACAGTAATCACTGATTTAAATATGAAATACCTTAATTCTAACAGCATCTCAAAGCTTCCTTCAACATGGGAACTTGGTATTTTCAGGCTGCAGAGATAGAAGCCAGAGAAAATGCCAACAAGGAGAAGGAAGAACTGGAGACCAGGAATGAAATGCAGTTTTCAGCTCTAAATGAGAATTTGGCAACACTTCGCCTGGATCTTCAGGTGGCCCAGGAGAAATACTCTGAGCTGACCAAGGAAAATGACGAAATTAGGGGTGAAAAACTAGGTAAGTCACAGGCCAGCTTGTGGCCATTTAACCTTAATTAAACTTATTTGATACAGGTCATAGATTTTGGTAATTGTAGCATCCAACATTGAATTCGTTGATAGATATATAAATTTAATTATAATTATATAAAAAGAATGAAAATTGAAACATGCACCTCATCATATAAATGTAACCAACTAGTAGAACTGTAAGCACATTCAGAACAGTGGACTTACAGATCTGGGGATCAAATATGGCTGACCCACTTGAATGCTTGTTGTGTAACCCCCGTGGGGAATTATTCAGTGTCTAATTGTGAATTAGGCGATAATTTTTTTTCGTGGATCGCCCTCTTTGATCTGCAGATCTGTCCTGAATGCGCTCTTTGTTTTCTGGGTTATTTGCAGAGCTGGAGGCAAAGCTAGAAAATAACAATGACGAGAGGCGGGCGCTGCTGGAGAGATGTCTGAAGAGTGAGAAGAGCTGTGAGGAGTTGAGACAAAAGGTCGCAGAGTACAGGAGAAAGTTTGAAGAGACCACAGCAGCGCTACAAGAGCTGGGGAGAGAGAACCAGGTGCTTCAGGTAGGAATTACATATATATAGTTTATTTTATGATTATAAGAACTATTTTTATTCCTAAAAGAATTTATTGTGAAAACTTGTTTGAGACTATTTGTTGAACTCTTTTGTGAAACTGAACCGGAATCTGGGTTATTAATTTTCAGAACTATGTCACTATTAATAAATGGCAATACCTCTATTTATATCAGATTAGATGCTTTGTAAACAAGTTGAATTTAATTTGTACACATTTCTAGTTGTTTTCCTAAACATTTTTTACCCATATTTTTTATGCATTCTGAAAATACGCACTTCAACACAATAAACAGACAACATGCAGTTACATGTACATGCCACAGGCTGTATCTTAGGACTGGGAATTGAGTTATTCAATTTATGACATATTAAGTGTTCCTAATATTTCAGATTCAGACGACTAAAGTGGTCACAAGAAAGTGGGCAGATGACAGTGAAGTGTTAGAGTGCCAGGCCTGCAGTAAACCCTTCTCTGTCACTGTGAGGAGGGTGAGTTTTTAGATAATGGCTTCTATGAATAGTTATTGATTTATTTTCTTATTTTTTTAATTTTCGTTTATAACCAGGTGGAAAGTTTTTGGAATTGGACCATTACTGAAATTTAAATGAGGTTTGGATAATTTTGATTTGCATTAGAGAGAGAGAGAGAGAGAGAGAGAGAGAGAGAGAGCAAAATTTTTAGATATTATGAAATATTTATACCTGGGATGTTCTGCAGCTAAAAGCCTTATTGCGCAATATTAATATTTTCCACTTCAGCATCACTGTGTCCAGAAATTTTTGTCATAAAGTATGTCACTTGTCATTTATTTCCACTTCAGCATCACTGCCGTAACTGTGGCCAGATCTTTTGCCACGAGTGTTCCAGCAGAAACGCAACAATTGCATCCTCCAAGAAGCCAGTGAGAGTTTGTGACACCTGTTATGGAGAGGTTGGGAAGAGGTAGAACACCTTTTTCTTGAATCCTGGAGGACTTCTAATGAATCAAGCATATAAATAAGAATTAAGTTTAAAGTTGGTGTGCTTACTTATATAGGCTGTTTTATAGCTAATGATTATGCTGATAAACAGAAAGTTTAGTGTGAGTACTGTGTATTTGGGATATGCTTTTAAGATGAGCTGAGGAAAAATTGATATCTGTAAGTTTCTAATTTGTATACTTTCTTTCTACTTCTTACACATTCTTAACAAAGTGTTCATTTTATTTGATATAAATCTATTTTTCTTTAGTAGAGCTATATGAACAGTTATTTTAAACATTGTTATGAGAAATTATTTCATTTTTAGATGTAATTCATGTACACGTAAATTGGTTTAACTGAAAAAAAGACTTTCCTAAAAATTTGTCCAGGAATTTTGATTGATTAATTGATTATAATTAGGTTCATTTAACCTTTTTGCTGCAATTGATATAAAACTCATGAAGAATGAAGTTTTTGTGTTTTATGGAGAATTTTGATCTACATCAGAAAAACTTGTTTCTTTGTTTGTTCATATGAATTAGGCAATTAAAACTTATTGCTGATAATGTTGATAAAGAAAAATGTTTTGAAAAAATTCTTTTCATAATTTTGCAAGCTGGCACAGATTTGTGATGTGCAATATGAATGCTGTTACAGTAAGTCATGCCTAAATACTCCTCTTAGATACTAGATGAAATTACAGACCTGGTGGTATTGTATTTAGGGTTGCATTTGTTTTATAAGTGGCTTTTTAGATAATTTTATAAGTAACCACTTTGAAGTAGCTGTTATCAACATGCAATCATACAAAATAATGTTTTATTTTTCTAAGGCATCACTGAAAAATAAATGGCAACTGTCATGCCAGTGCAGAAAATCTGCAGTTCTAAAATTGGAATTAAAGATGTGATTATGATTATTATAAAATGACACAATATGCTGGTTTAAATATGTATATGATTTGGGTGTGTTTTACATGTTAACATTAATTACCGTATGACTTTTACAGTAATATTGAATTGAAAAAAGGCATTATGGTTGTTTTCATAATGTATGCAATGTGCATTAGACTTTTAGATAGCAAAAAAAATTTTTGAAAATGATTCCCCCCCCCAAAAAAAAAACAAAAAAAACCATCAAGTTAATTCTGTGCCAACCTGTTGAGGAATTAGAGAAATATCAACCTGTTTCCAAATTGTAATTTTTTAAATAGTTTCCAATAATGAGAGTGATTAAAAAACAGTTTATGGATCGTAATTTTTATTCAATGATTTTGAGTATTGGGGTACTGTGTGGAGAGAAGAAAAATTAAAATTTCCACGAAAATTATTTTTTTATAATCCTTTATAAATGTCTAAGGTGATTGTATGATAAAACTGAATAAATCTTATGCAGAATGAGAATATTTTAATGATTTCTAAGCAATACGTAATTATAAAGTTTTAAGGGGAACAATATTTTAATGTGATAACATTTGTAACATTGGAATTGCAGATGCTGACGTGATGGGCTCTGATTACTACTTCAGACGAAAATATGTTAACTGAATATTATTTATTGTTAAAACATTAAAAATATATTCTTATTTCATTTTGTGTTTTGTTTTTGTTCCTAGACTTATCTCGAAGNTGTTCATGTACAACGGTGAATTGATCCAAGTAAACATCATTCATCAAGTCGGATTTGAAATTAATTACACAACGTTTATTGTTGCTGATCAACATTTTTTAAAATCCAAACATATGATGAACAGAAGTGCTTCACGAAAGGCTCAGATGAAATTGTAATTAGTGGTTGTCATTCTTAAGTTTTAACTTTTTCTGCATCAGTTATTCCAATTTATGTGGTCAAACATTTAAATTTTACATGTACATCAGCATTGCACGTCTTTTTCTCATTAAAAACGGCAAAATAACAAAATTTCTGAGACGACCTTTATAGGCAACTCTTTATTTATAAAATCCTTTGTCAGTGCTATTAAATTGCAAACAGAATATAATAACATAACATAAGCCGCCATCTGGTTGCTCCCTCCCCTGGGCAGAATATTTGCCATTTAATTTCAGTCTCTGTGATGCGTTTAAGGCATGAAGTAAGACAGTAATGTGAATCTTCCTTCCTACAATATAGTGTAGGATGGTACCACAGGATATCTCTATATCAACATTTATACATGCTGATAGGATGGGGTCCTGGGCCCCGTAACTCGCGCATTGCGACCGAGTGCAAGCGTCTCGCTTCCATTACTTGCCCGTTCTCGCCCCATGGTATACATTGTACCTAGCCTCTATGTGTTATCGCTCTCCGCAATACGCGATGCTTTCGAGTTACGGGGCCCATGTTAGAGATCGGCTGCAATGCATCTCAAGAAGAGAGAACATGTTGTCCGAAACCGTCGAAATTTAGCAATGAATAAAAATTACAAATAGGCTCGAAATATGGACACCGTTGTTTGCTTTTAGGTTCGAAACGCGTTAGTACTACTTTCCAGATTCGTGGTCAATATATTTACGTATAAAATGCTATAAGGACATCTAACGCAGGCTACAATAACCAGTATCAATCATTAAATGTTCACTCGCTGGTTGCTCAGGTACAGGACTGCAGACTGATTTTTCATTACATTTTCACAAATATGTGCCTAGATAAATGATGTTATTTTTTCGACAGAGCGAAAGTGCACATAAAGAAATCTGCGACCCTGTTAGAGAGTACCTTCCTGGCAGGTATGGCGCGAGTTCCAACTAGGTTGTATTCATGTCTGCGCTTGAGGGTAGACCATCTATCTAGAGCGCAACAGAGAGTCACTTGGACACTCTTTAGCAAAGCAACGGAATATTTGGCCTCTCTCTGGCCTCTCAGGTCCAGAAATGTTCATTGTACAGTAGCACTGGCTACTTACTCTGCCAATAAGCATATACATCGTAAGTTGTGTGCAAGTTCAAACCACGTTTCGAGCAGAAGATAGTATTCCACGCCGAGCTCTATTCTGTGTAGTAACGCCACGCCTGAACGCGTTACACGCTTCCAGGATTATATTTTTAATGGTTTATCAATTTCATTTAGAAATGTAAAGTGCTATTTGTTCCACATTAATATTGGTCTTTCATTAACCACAACATTGCTCCTATAATTGCTCTCGTTTTCATAAGCCGTGGGTAGATGTAATCATCTTCGACCTCTCCCTCACCCCCTCCCAACCATCAGCACAGTAAAACCCCTTGTTTCAAAAGGAATGTTTTTCGAACTGAGATATGGAGCAATTGGTTGAAAATCTTCACTTTGTTGATAAAATGTATAGAAGAAATCATTTAAAAAATTTGAAGTTTATTATTTGGAATTCTACTAACAGCTGACTCAGGTGACTGGGCTGATAACATTTATAGAAAAGATTCAGGGCTATGCTATCTTATATACATGCCCCAGTGTGCATAACTAATGTTTTGTGGCTATAACGGCTACAGCTTATTCCAGGGCAATGTTATCTCATGTGTGTGCCCCTAGTGAGCATAGATAGATTCATTGTAATGAGAGGCAGCGCGCTTTATCCGGTATCGTATCTTTGTTGAAGACAGATATCAAATTTTGTTCTTGGAACTATTTTGAAAAGGTGTGCACAGGCTGAATCTGAATACAAAGATTCGGTTACGTTCCAGTCACGGGATTAGTTTTTCAGGCTGTAGAAGCAACGTGGTATGCTTAAGTTTAATTTAAATCAACAAATTGGCTGATAGAGTATTTACATGTAAAACATGTAATCGTTTTCTTGGTTTGAATTCGTGAAGTCTAAATGCTTTTTTTCAATAGGGCTGTGTAAATGGTTTGAAGTTCGTGAAGTCTAAATTCTTTTTTTTTTTAAGGGAGAGGGGCGTATTTTAATTGCTTAACTTCTCATCCTTACAGATTTGGCCCCAGTTTCACACAATGAAAAAATTAGTCAGTTACCTGACTTAGTTGACTAGGATTCCCAGGCCCCGGTTTCACAAAAAAGAACTGAAGTCGGGTTCCCAGCCTAAGAACTTAATTACCAAGGTTACATCGTCACATGGGCACATTCCACCCTTTCAAGGGCAGTGTAACAGCAGTCTCATGGAAATCCTAGTCAACTAAGCCAGGGAATTGACTTAAGTTTTTTTTTGTGAAAACGGGACCAGGAGGGTGCTGTTACACTGCTCCTGATAGAGTAAGACTTGCCCATATGCCCATATAACCTTGGCAATAAAGTTTTTTGTGAAACCGGGGCCTGAGCTTTTTACATATCGTACGTAAGCTGCGTTTTACTTTCCCTTATTGTAAATTCATTGTTGAAAAACATTTTATAAAACATATATACAATAATTTAGAAAATCAATAAATAAATCACATAGAATTACTAAAACTCTATATCTTGACAAAACTTCCACATATTTTTATTCTGGATAATTAATTCCAGGGATAACAAGTAGGCCTAATAATTTTGGTTTTTCATATGTCATTTTCTTCTGCACCTATTCAAAGGCATTACTTAACATATTGTAGGTAATCTAAATTTCTTCCTCATATATGAATAATGTCCCTAAATTGTACCAGACTGTTTTTTACTAGTGATTTAGTTCTTAAATTAGGCATATACTGGTAAATCTGTTATAATGCATTTCAAAAACTGAGTACATGCGCAACACAAGAAAAATAGGATAACTGACCATTAGAGAATGTAAGGATCCACTGACACAAGTAAGACGTGGCCAGTGTTGGATCATCTTGTCGTATCCCAGTTCCTACATGATGTCGGTCAAAATAAGTGTTTTAGTGAAATCAATCAAAACAAAACAAAACAAAAACAAACATTGTTAATGAGGAAAAGAGACTAACTGGTACCTTTTTTGATTGATCAGTGGTTTTCATTTCATATGTTGGCGTATGTCTAATTACAAACAACCTTCCGTTTAATTGAAATAAATCAACTTTAAGTCTAAGATAATAGACGATCTAGCTGAATATGTACTCATTATAATGTGATTGGGGAGAGAGTACTGAATATTGTGTTACATGACCTCTCATTGCTTTGTGGTCTGAATAATATTATGAGAATTACTAACAGTTGTATGTTACTCAAGTGATATTTGAACCACACCTGACTTACTTGGAACACACAACACAGGTAAGCTCCCTTCCATGAACATATTTTGGACACGGGAGAGAATGACCACAGTAAGCTTCTCCCACATAGAAAAGAGCACCATTTTTGTCAGCTACACCTCCTGCAACTACCTCTGGAGCCTCATCAAGACAGACAAATTCAGTTCTATATTGTGAATTGTGTTGTGCGACCAAGTAACCATGATATTCCCGCGTCCAACCGGCAGGACACGTTTTCCATGCTGGAATCATCACATGACTGGTGCGGCCTTGGGTGTAACAAACAGCACATGGAGCATCTTGGTCCTTAAAATTCTTGCCTCCAAAATTGATCCTCTGGAAAGGGTCATTGGTGAAGTGTCCCATTTGGTACTCTGTACCATGAATGCTACTGCCAGAATTTTGGTACCCATCTTGGTAATTGCCCCACTGTGGGTTGTGAGGGAGACAGATGTAGTTGCTAGCGCCACCTTTATGTTCATACCAAGAACCAGCAGTATAACCTACAAAAATTGATTACGAATATATTTTCACCAGTTGCGAGGCAATAGACGGATTTATTGATCTATATATTTAAGATTGTGAATTCGACTAAAGTTATGAATATTGATAAAACGAACAAAGTGATATTCAAATTTAAGGGCAACAAGTTGCTTTTGTAGTTCTTACCTTCATAAAGAAGTTTAGAAGAGGCACCACACTTAGTTCTCCCCCATCTCGTGTACACTGATCCTCCAACTGTCGTATTAGGTGGTAAACCTATCAGAAATAATTCAACAATTGGTAAATTCTCACTTTGTTTGATATCATTTATTTTATTTATAACTGGTCTCATGTTAAAGCTTTTAGAAGCATTACAAACATACGCATGTTTACAAGTTGTGTCATCCGTGAACATGTCTTATGTTAAATAAATATATTGCTTTGGCTTTGGTAGTATTTCACAGTCTAACTGAAATTCCAACCTAACTTTGATGTTGAGCTAATAAATGCAAGGCAATATAACTTAAACGAAGACAAAAGTTTACCAAGTTCTTTTATAAGTTGCTTGATTTTATCGTCTGTCACAGAAGGACCAGGTGGACCAGAGGGACCGGGAGGACCCTATCAGCAAGAAAATATAAAAGTGAGCTCTTTCCGCACATCCTATTAGTTTTGTAAACACAATGAAAAGAAGGACTAGACAAAGATCAGTCTGTCTTATTTGTTAACAGTATAGCTTAAATTAATCTGGTTTACTGGTCGTGATTAAATGATTCTATTACGTAGTTGTAATTAATATTGTGATGAAAGGGTCTTCATATCTTTTTTTCAGCTGTACTCAACTATTATTTCTCACCTGCAGTCCTTTTCCGTTTTGCCCAGGTATACCATCTCTGCCATCTTTGCCAGGTTTGCCCTCTGTCCCAGGTCTACCGTCTCTGCCTGGTTTCCCATCATCGCCAGGTTTCCCATCTCTGCCTTGGTTCCCATCTCTGCCTGGTTTCCCATCATTCCCAGGTTTCCCATCTCTCCCATCTCTGCCTGGTAGTCCCCTGCATGCCCGGGGACACACAGCAGCTGTGAGATATGATTTTGTATAATATGGGTGTTAATACGATAAAAATGACAAGTATGTGCTTCTTAATAAAAAGGGGAAAAAAGAAATGAAAAATGTTAATCCTAAGAATTCAAGAAAACTCATATATACAAAAGTTATAAAATTACTGGCAGATGAAGTTTTTTCTGAGCTATAATCTGTATCGAACAACTAAGATGGAATAAAAAATGTACATAAATGAAATATTAAAAGATGATCAATGCAGACATTGCTTTTGTAAAATCACTGCGCGGAGTGTCTGCTTATTTTGTGAATAATTCAACATGTCTGAATACAAGTTCTGCACGGCGACATACACACGGGACCATAATAATCTCGTTATCTTACATGGTATTAATGATTTCAATTAAAACAGTTTCTTACAAACTTCACCTACTCTGCATTGCATTTGTGCTGGATGCATTGTCTTTCATGGGTGACATTTTCGATCTGACGTCTTTCTCATCACTGTAGCTACGGTCTAGGACTAACTGAAGGCTGTCCAGTGAACCCTGGAAATTAGTGATTTGCATTTTATTTCCGGTTGTTTATTTACATCCTATACTGTTTTTTTCGCTAAATCTAAGTTTCGTTGATAACAATTTCTCTTTTTCAAGAACGCATGTAGTTTAACTTGATGGGGTTTACAGTTTTTAAGGTATGGATTGAGAAAGAAAAGGAGCTTTCCCAAATATTAAGTCACAAGTTGACTTTGGAATACTATGAGGTATAATTGCGAACTACCGTAGCACTTTTCAAGGATTAATGACACTTGATAACATCGTATATCATTGTGAAAAGTATACATAACCTTCAGTTGCTTATTTTCTTTTTCCAGTTGTTTGATTTCTTTATCCATATCTTTGATCATCGCCTCCAATTTTGTATTTCTGTCATCCTGCATCCTTTTCAAACTCAGAACTCTATTCATGAGTTTGTTGAGAGTGATTTCTTCCATACCTTTCGACCACACAAGGTGACAGGCTAACAAAATTACAACGGCAATAGTGAACATGTTGACGATGTCGCAAAGAAATACTGCTGACACGTCGAAAGTACCCTTCTGACCATCCGTAGTATAAGTACATGTATAAGAAGAAAACGACTGATCCTATCTAATAAATATAAAACTAAATCTGATTGGGTTAAATCAAACTTGTGCTAAACAGGAACGATTTAGCTAAAATGTTCTAAAATTAATTGATGGTAGTAAACGATTTCTTTGCACTCACGAGTCAAGCTATATCAGAGATCAGATCAAGCAACAGGTAGACAAATTTACTAAACGATTATATTGACTTTTCAGTTGAAGTAAGATGTGGACTAAGTCACTTGCATTTAAAACGTCCGCTTCTGGAAATACATTGGTTGAGTCGTTATTGTTTTATGCCCAACATGAAACTAGATATCATTTATGAATTGAGATAGTGTAATGTTTGGATGAATTGATTGTATTCTTGTCGACAATATATCAGTTCTATTTTGTTTGTATATAACACTGACCTAATCCTAGGGCAATTTATCTATTAACTGTTGAGATTGCAATTTAATGAATGGAAGCATTAGATGATGAGAGCAATATTTCATTTGTTTTAACAGTACATTATAGATGAAAATACAAATTTCAGCAATTAAAGGTGAAATTTTCCTTTTGGGTTTACTTATTGATTTTGATCATTTTAATTCAAGCCATTTTAATTCAAGGGGTCAAATATTTTACTAATATAACATCAGTACACTTTTTCTGGAATACTGGTGACTTATCCAATTCAGACGCATATTGTTCGGTGCAAATACACTATTTGTACGCTTACTGTACTGGCATGTGAACACAGTTTCTATTGACTTAGGAAGTTCCAAGAAGACGTGCTTCTTCCTTCCTGCAGTTTTGCTCCTGGGGGTCATCACGGGTCAGGTCCTGTTCCATGTGCTCATCATCTCATGGTTTTGTTGCACGTGGGATGCTGAGTGATGCGATTTATATGAGCCCGAAAAAAGCCTGATGGTCGAATTTTAAAGTGTACGAAATTCACGCCAATCAAGATCGTGGAAAATTGCTTTCTGGTCGAAATTCAGTAAAAAAAAATCCAGACGGCCGATTTTAATAACGTTTGAAATTTAAGAACCGTTCGAAATTTATGGCACATTACCGTATTGTCATGGGCAGTACATCAACGACCTTCTTTTTCGCCTTTTATACTATTTGTGGTACCCTCTACTAAGGCCGCAGATTGATTTTTCACTAGATGTTCACAAATGTGTGTTTAGTTAAATGAAGATTTTTTTCTAAATCTATAGAAATCATTTTTGTAATTTGAAGACAATTGTACTGGAATTCTACTTACTCAGTGACTGCGTTGATACATTCTGACAACGTTTATGGTTTAGATTCAGGGCAATGCTATCTTATGTGCATGCCCCAGTGTGTATAACTAATATTTTGTGGCCATAAAATCTACAGAAAATTCCAGGGCAATGTTATCTCATGTGTGGGCCCCAAGCGAGCATAGATAGATCCATTGTAATGACAGGCAGTGCGCCTTATCGGGAATTGCATTGTTGTTGTTGATGAAAAATATCAAATTTTGTTCCTGTTAGTTTTCTGAAAAAATGTGCACGAACTGAATCTGAATATGAAGATTCGGTTATGTTCCTATCACGGGATTAGTTTTTTCAGGCTGTAGTAGCAAGATGATATGTGGGAGTCTGGGGGAAATCGACATTTATACATGCTGATAGGATGGGGTCCTGGGCTCATGGTATACATTGTACATAGCCTCTATGTGTTATCGCTCTTCGCAATACGCGATGCTTTCTATGGACACCGTTGTTTGCTTTTACGTTCGAAACGCGCTAGTACTACTTTCCTGATTCGTGGTCAATATATTTACGTATAAATTGCTATGACATCTAACGCAGACGACAATAACCAGTTTCAATCATTTTATGTCCACTCGCTGGTTGCTCAGGTACAGGACTGCAGACTGATTTTTCATTACATTTTCACAGATACGTGCCTAGTTAAATGATGTTATTTTTTCGCCAGAGCAAAAGTGCACATAAAGAAATCTGCGACCCTGTTATAGAGTACCTTCCTGGCAGGTATGGCGCGAGTTCCAACTAGGGTGTCTTCATGTCTGCGCTTGAGAGTAGGCCATCTAGAGCGCAACAGAGAGTCACTTGGACACTCTTTACAAATGTTCATTGTACAGTAGCACTGGCTACTAACTCTGCCAATAAGCATATACATGTAAGTTGTGTGCAAGTTCAAACCACGGTTCGAGGAGCAGACAATATTCCGCGTCGAGCTCTATTCTGTGTAGTCACGCCACGCCTGGACGCGTTACACACTTCCAGGATTATATTTTTAATGGTTTATCAATTTCATTTAGAAATGTAAAGTGCTATTTGTTCCACATTAATATTGGTCTTTCATTAACCACAACATTGCTCCTATAATTGCTCTCGTTTTCATAAGCCGTGGGTAGATGTAATCATCTTCGACCTCTCCCTCACCCCCTCCCAACCATCAGCACAGTAAAACCCCTTGTTTCAAAAGGAATGTTTTTCGAACTGAGATATGGAGCAATTGGTTGAAAATCTTCACATTGTTGATAAAATGTATAGAAGAAATCATTTAAAAAATTTGAAGTTTATAATTTGGAATTCTACTAACAGTTGACTCAGGTGACTGGGCTGATAACATTTATAGAAAAGATTCAGGGCTATGTTATCTTATAATACATGCCCCAGTGTGCATAACTAATGTTTTGTGGCTATAACGGCTACAGCTTATTCCAGGGCTATGTTATCTCCTGTGTGTGCCCCTAGTGAGCATATATAGATTCATTGTAATGAGAGGCAGCACGCTTTATCCGGTATTGTATCTTTGTTGAAGACAGATATCAGATTTTTTCCAGGAACTATTTTGAAAATTTGTGCACGGACTGAGTATGAATACAAAGATTCGGTTACATTCCTCTCATGGGATTAGTTCTTCAGGCTGCAGAAGCAAGGTGGTATGCTTAAGTTTAGGAGAAATCAACAAATTGGCTGATGGAGTATTTACATGTAAAACATGTAATCGTTCTCTTGGTACCTGGCCATTGATGTGTATGTAATAGGGCTGTGTAAATGGTTTGAAGTTCGTGAAGTCTAAATGCTTCCTTTTTTTTTTTNTTAACAATTTTAGGGTGTCATCTAGATGAAGAGGGGGTGCTAGTATGATGAAACAGGTATTCTAGCATCAAAATCATAAAAAAACATAAAAAAGTTGAATAAGTAACCGAATAAGGAACCGGGAATAAGTAACCAACTTCACATTTGACAACATTGCTCCTATAATTGCTCTCGTTTTCATAAGCCGTGGGTAGATGTAATCATCTTCGACCTCTCCCTCACCCCCTCCCAACCATCAGCACAGTAAAACCCCTTGTTTCAAAAGGAATGTTTTTCGAACTGAGATATGGAGCAATTGGTTGAAAATCTTCACATTGTTGATAAAATGTATAGAAGGAATCATTTTAAAAATTTGAAGTTTATAATTTGGAATTCTACTAACAGTTGACTCAGGTGACTGGGCTGATAACATTTATAGAAAAGATTCAGGGCAATGCTATCTTATATACATGCCCCAGTGTGCATAACTAATGTTTTGTGGCTATAACGGCTACAACTTATTCCAGGGCAATGTTATCTCCTGTGTGTGCCCCTAGTGAGCATAGATAGATTCATTGTAATGAGAGGCAGCGCGCTTTATCCGGTATTGTATCTTTGTTGAAGACAGATATCAGATTTTTTTCCAGGAACTATTTTGAAAATTTGTGCACGGACTGAGTATGAATACAAAGATTCGGTTACATTCCTCTCATGGGATTAGTTCTTCAGGCTGTAGAAACAAGGTGGTATGCTTAAGTTTAGGAGAATTCAACAAATTGGCTGATAGAGTATTTACATGTAAAACATGTAATCGTTCTCTTGGTACCTGGCCATTTATGTGTATGTAATAGGGCTGTGTAAATGGTTTGAAGTTCGTGAAGTCTAATTTTTTTTTTTTTTTTTTTTTTTTTGGGGGGGGGGGGTTATTTAATTGCTTAACTTCTCAGCCTTACAGATTTGGACCTAGTTTCAAAAAAAAAAAAAAAAAAACTAAGTTACCTGGCTTAGTTGTCAAGAATATCCAGGAGAGTGCTGTTACACTGCTCCTGGTACAGTAAGACTTGTGACCATGTAACCTTTTTAATAAAGTTTTTTTGTGAAACCAGGGCCTGAGCTTTTTACAAATATCGTATTTAAGCTGTGTCCTTGATTCCCTTATTGTAAATTCATTGTTGAAAAACACTTAATAAAACATATATAGTCTTATTTGAAAAATAAATAAATAAATCACATAGAAATACTAAAATTCTATAAACTTCCACAAATTTTTATTCTGGATAATTAACTTCAGGGATTACAATTAATAAGTTTGGTTTTTCATGTGTCATTTACTCTGCATCTGTTCAAAGGCATTGCTTAAAATATTGTGGGTCATCTAAATTTCTTCCTCAAATCTGAATAATGCCCCTAAAATTGCGCCAGACTTACTATTGATTCAGATTTCAATTAGGCATATAATGGTTAATCAGTTACAGTGCATCTCAAGAACGTAGTTTATGTGCAACACAAGATTCAAATGAGGATAATTGATCATAAAAGAATATAAGAATACACTGCCACGAGTAAGACATGCCCGGTGTTGTATCATTTTTTTTTTTTTTTTTTTTTTTTTTTGTATGCCAATTACTATATGATGTAAGTCAAAATAAGTCTTTTAGTAAAATTAATTTTAAAAAACAATGAGGAAAAGAGACTAACTGGCACCTTTTTGATTGGCCAGTGGTTTCATTCCATATGTTGGCTTAAGTCTAATTACAAACAACCTTCCGTGTAATGACAATAAATCAACATCTGCTTATAATTTTTTGCATCAAAGGCATGATGTCTAAGATAATTCACGATCTAGCTGAATATGTACTCATTAAAATATGATTGGGGAGAGAGAGTTGTTAATATTGTCTTACATGATCTCATATTGCATTGTGGTCTGAATAATATTATGAGGATTACTAACAGTTGTATGTTACTCAAACGGTATATTTGAACCACACTTGGCTTACTTGGAACACACAACACAGGTAAGCTCCCTTCCATGAACATATTTTGGACACGGGAGAGAATGACCGCAGTCAGCTTCTCCCACATAGAAAAGAGCACCATCTTTATTAGCCATTCCTCCTGCAACTACTTCTGGAGCCTCATCAAGACAGACGAATTCAGTTCTAGGTTGTGAATTGTGTTGTGCAACCAAGTAGCCATGATACTCCCGTGTCCACCCGGCAGGACATGTCTTCCAGGCTGGAATCATCACATGACTGGTGCGGCCTTGGGTATAGCAAACAGCACACGGAGCGTTATGGTCCTTGAGAGTCTTACCCCCATTATTGGTCTTCAGGAAAATATCATTGGTGTAGTATCCCATTTCGTACTCTGTACCCTGAACGTGAGTGCCGGAATTTTGGAACCCATCTTGGTAATTGCCCCACTGTGGGTTGTGAGGGAGACAGATGTAGTTGCTAGCGCCACCTTTATGACCATACCAGGAACCAGCAGTATAACCTAAAAAACAAAGGGACCTTTCACAATGAATTTCGTCGATTTCACTACGGGTCTCTCTGAATGTAATCAGTTTGATAAGACCAAGAGTCAAACACGCTTCCTCCTGGTTTTGAATATATTATACCTGGTGACGATATAGAGTACGAAAGGACGTGTGTTAGTCACAATGGGCACGTGGGCAAAATTGCCTCGGTAAGGCCGACCGAAGGAAAACGCAACCAGAGAAAAGAAAATGTTCATACTCCTGCAACGTAGAAAACGTTTTATCTCACTTTGGAATTTGACTGCAACAATGATCAAGAACAGGGCACGACATTTTTCTGAGTTTACGGTTAGAAGACGTCTGCACAATATTGGTAGGGTTTCTGTTACAGTAGAAGACCAGGGATCCCCGCTAGGAACCGTCTACTCTGGCATGGACACTTAAGGAATTTTGTAGAGATTATCATTGAAAACCATAATCACCCATTTATGTTTCTAAAAAATTCTCTTTAGAAGTTCCTTTTTTTGCTAGGGAAGTAAATAACATTATATATTTATGTTGAAGGGTGCTAGGCCCTTGCTGGGGAGCTAGGTTATATACATGTAGCTAATCAGTAACGACTTTTCTTTTATTTTTTCAGTTTAACTGATGTTGTTATTCATAAAATGAACAAAGTGACATTTAAATTTAATTTCTTCTAGTTGCTCTTGCAGTTCTTACCTTCATAAAGAAGTTTAGAAGAGGCACCACATTTAGTTCTCCCCCATCTCGTGTACACTGATCCGCCACCTGTCGTATTAGGTGGTAAACCTATCAGAAATAATTCATCAATCAGTAAATTTTCAAGTTGTTTCAAATCATTTATTTTACTTATAACTGGTCTCATGTTAAAGCTTTTAGAAGCATTACAAATATAGGCATGTTTACAAGTTGTGTCATCACTGAACATGTCTTATGTTATATATATATATATATATATATATATATATATATATATATATATATATATATATATATATATATATATTGCTTTGGTTTTTGAAGTTTTTTACAGTCTAACAGAAATTCTGACCTACATAGATTATAAACTTTGATGTTGGACTATAACTCAAACGGAAAGAAAATTTTACCATGTTCTTTTATAAGTTGTTTGATTCTGTCGTCTGTCACAGAAGGGCCAGGTGGACCGGGAGGACCCTATCAATAATATAAGATATAAAACTGAGCTCTTTCTGCACATCCTTTTAGTTTTGTAAACACATTGAAAAGAAACCATTAGACAAAGATCGGTTTGCCTTATTTGTTAACAGTATAGCGTAAATCAATCTGGTTTGCTGGTCGTGTTTAAGTGATTCTATTACGTAGTTGATAATCTCTCAAAACGTTTTCAAAAAGATTGTTGTAAAATACAGTGTAAAAAAGGCATAATCAATATTGTGATGAAAGGGTATTTCTCTTTCTATTCAGCTGAACTCAACTATTAATTCTCACCTGCAGTCCTTTTCCGTTTTGCCCAGGTATACCATCTCTGCCATCTTTGCCAGGTTTGCCCTCTGTCCCAGGTCTACCGTCTCTGCCAGGTTTCCCATCATCTCCCGGTTTTCCATCTCTGCCATCCCTGCCTGGCAGCCCCCTGCATGCCCGTGGGCACACAACAGCTGCTGGAGAGAAAGTGTAGAAGTGGGAGTAAATACGGGAGAATAGGCAAATAAAAATAGTTTGGTTTTTTTTTTGCTTTTTATGAAAATAAAATAAATTAAAGAAATGAAAGAAAGGAAGGAACATAATGTGTCGAAAAATTCGTAAAAAGTCAAAAGAAGGCATAATAACTGTTGGAAATTCAATATCCCTGCATACCAAAGATACTTCCTTATACAAGTTTGTGTGACTATAACGATCTCGTTATTTTATATTACATAACCAATTTCAGTGGAAACAGTTACTAAAATATCACGTACTCTGCAGCGACCCCGTACCAGATGCTTCGTCATTCATTGGTGACAACATTTTCTTTTCATCACTGGGGTTATGATCTAAGACTAACTGAAGGCTCTTCAGAGAATCCTGAAAGTCCATGACTCTGGATTAAATTCTGAACTGGCTGTTACAGATGATTGCAAACTAACGCACAAAATATGTCTTTAGTAGTACTAGTATTTTTGAAAAATCTCGGTTGAGTAGGATAATACATGCGCATGTCACGAAGCCATCAATTGCTAAACATTTGCAAATGAAACGCGTCTATAAAGGTATTTAAAGATACCAATGTAAAAGTAATATTATTGGCAATTTACAATACCTTGAGCTGCTGATTTTCTTTTTTAAGTTGTTTCATTTCTGCCTCCAGTTTTGTGTTTTTGTCGTCCTGAGTCCTTTCCAAACTCAGGACCCTGTCCACCAGTTTGTTGAAGACGATGTCGTCCACATTTTTAGCACTCACAAGTTGACAGGCCCCAGCCATCAAAATTACAACAGCAATAATGGACATGTTGACAATATATGTCGCAAAGTAGGCCTACAGGGTAATATTGCTGCCACGTCAAAGAGACGGTAGATATTTACTTGTTCTGACCTTTTACTCCGTAGGTTAAGGAAAAAGGAGAAAGCAACCGAGCCTATCGAAATATAAAACTAAATCTAGCGGGATTATATCAAGTTCTAAACGGGAACGATTTAGCTACGGTGTTCTAAGATTAATTGAAGGAAGTAAACGACTTCTTTGCACTCACCTGCCATGGAAGCCTAGAGTGCAGAGGTCAGATCAGGGAAAAGCAGATTTACATAGACTTCATCGTTTGACTTAAACATTGAGCTACGTCAGGCCTGTAGCCACGGGGGTTGTGGGGGGGGGGGTGTTCGAAAGAACCGCCTTTTTTGGCGGGGAAGGGTCCTTTCTGGGAAACATTTGATCTAGGTAAACAACGGTTTCATTGTGATAGGTCCACTTTTTCAAAAAAAAAAAAAAAAAAAATTGAAATTGCTGTCTACGGGCCTGTACATGTAGGGGTCATTCCACAGAAAGAACATTTGAGTCTTGTCAGTGAGACATATATTTTGTGTTATAATAACATATTGAATTTTATCAGTTTACGTAAATTACTGCTGATTTCTTTTAATATTGAAGGATATTATCGCATAAAACGTTGAAAATAATAGCGCAAGTCAAAATTATTTTTAAAAAAGATTCACAAATGTGTGCATCATTGCCGTGGCGGAATCAACACTACAAACCCGCCGTCTACATCCTGTTGTTTGTTTTACAACGGCTTTGATTAAACCGTTTCTGTTTTAGGCCTTCCATGAAAACAGATATCATTCATGAACATAAAGATAGTGTAGTGTTTGGATGGGGTGATCAAATTATTGTTTTCTTTACTCAGTTCCACTTTGTTCATGTACAACGGTCAATTGATCCAAGTAAACATCATTTATCAAGTCGGATTTGAAATTAATTGCACTACGTTTATTGTTGCTGATCAACATTTTTTAAAATCCAAACATATGATGAAGTGCTACACGAAAGGCTCAGATGAAATTGTAATTAGTGGTTGTCATTCTTAAGTTTTAACTTTTTCTGCATCAGTTATTCCAATTTATGTGGTCAAACATTTTAATTTTACATGAACATCAGCATTGCACGTCTTTTTCTCATTAAAAACGGCAAAATAAAAAAATTTCTGAGACAACCTTTATAGGCAACTCTTTATTTATAAAATCCTTTGTCAGTGCTATTAAATTGCAAACAGAATATAATAACATAACATAAGCTGCCATCTGGTTGCCCCCTCCCCTGGGCAGAATATTTGCCATTTAATTTCAGTCTCTTTGATGCGTTTAAGACATGAAGTAAGACAGTAATGTGAATCTTCCTTCTTATATAGTGTGGGATGGTACCACAGGATATCTCTAAAGAAATGTACCGAAAAGCAAAGTAAGCAAGCCAACAGTAAACACTAGCACAAGTTTTATGAAATGATAATTTTAGCCAGACGAGTATCCATTGCAAAAATAAATTAATTAATTAATTAGTGAGCAATAACATTGAGAAAATAGCTCCTGGATCTACTGAAGTATACCATACACTGTACGGAATTTACCCATTGAATGAATTTTCCTCAGGAAAAAAATAGGTTATTTTCTTCCACCAATGAATCATTGTACAGTCTGTCATTTCACTTGTATATAAAATTTTATTCCTTTTTGATTTCATGATTTAATTCTCAATGACTGGCAAAGTCAAAGTCATATGATCAAGGCCTTTTAATGTAGGGTTGAAACTGTCATACTGCATAGGTAAAGACATATGTAGTCTCTAAAAATTATCTACTTTTTACTTTCAAAAATTATAGTTCATCTTTTTCTGGAATATCAAGATATTGTGGAAGTTGATCTGCTGCACATCGGAAACCTAAGTTCCCGGCAGAACTGTCTGGTGTGTTCTGACTTCTGGCACCACATCTATATCGATAGCAAAACTCCTGCAATGAAAGAATAACAACATTAACTATTACATGGAAATAATTTTATTTGTTAATTTCACAAATCATATCTTTTTAGTAGTAAAAAATATGCACTCCTGGCTGTAGTCAGCAATTTGTAAGGGGATCAGTTTGATACAAATTGGACATTTTCTGAACAATAGGGGTGTTTCTTTGCGAATTTAAGTTTCAGTCTTTAACCTAAAATATCTTCAATGTTATCGTAAGCACATACTAGTACATGTACCTTAGTGCACATATATGATCCACCTTTCTTCACTTTGTCACTACTGCTGTCTGGTCCCTTCTGGAAACAAGTTAATATAAGGACAGTTTTACCAGGTTCAAGATGACAATATATTTGTACAACTAAGACCCCATTCCCATACATACACCCCATTTCCAGAGATTAGATCGACCTACTTTAGATCAACCTAACTCCCTGGGGGTTCACGCTAAATAGCTGTCAGCCGGGCAAACACAAAAGTTAATTACCTCCTTACAGCTTGTAGTAGGCGGGACGGACATTTAAGTCGGATTAGCTGAAAGTAATCCAGTGAGACTCCCCGCGGGGATAGATCGATATAAAATCTATGGGAATAGAGCCTTAGATTGATCTAGCAGGATCAACCCATCTCTGAGGGGAATCTCTGCACTACTTCTCTGCACTACTTCTCTGCACTACCTTCTGCACTACTTTACATTAGCAGCCAAATGCTAAATTTATTTGTATGTTTTTTTTTTTAATATCTATAAGTATTGCTGAAGTGTTCTTTAAAGCCATTCAAAATAATTTTCTTCTACTGTTTTTGAAACATTAAATTTGAATATCCTAGTCATAGCTGTACAATGCCAACACGATTCTACCATATTCGTACTCTATACTTACAGGATCTTTCTTGAAGTCTGTGGTATGTCTGATGTTCCACCAGTCAGACACCCATTCCCACACATTACCAACCATGTTCTTCAACCCAAACTTATTCTGGGGGGGATAACTGGTTACCTACAGATGAACAGTGTTTAAAGTTGGTTACTTCACCCCTATTCTATTCTTCTTTCTTTTCCATGGAAATTTTAAAAAGTTATTGCCAGTGTTGGAACTCAAAACAATAAATTTTCCCTTTAAATAATTTCGGCTGTGAATCTCATTCTGAGACTAGTTTTTAAAATGGCTGTTTGTGGAAAACCTTTTCATCATTGTATAATAATGATCACATTCTAAAATTAAAAAAAATGTCTCCACTTTAAAGGAGTTATTGCCAATGTTGGGACCCAAACAATAATTTTCCCCTCTTAATAAAAATCATTTGTCTATATCTCTCTTTCTCAAATAATATTTCATAAACAGGAAATTAATTCATATCTACAGCATACCTTTCTGCTTTCTCTCCAGGCTAAATGTATGCCTATTGAAATGTAACCCCAAATCAAATAATAAACGAGCCAGTTTAAGCTGACAAATGTACAGACAACCCTTCTTGGTTGAAATACATAGCAAAGAAATTTAGGCTGAACAACTGCATCTGTAATTAAGCTCTATATATGACATCAAGAAGATTGTAGGAAAGGAGATGCATATATCCATCTAGATTACATTTTGGTAAATGGGTTGTTATAAACTATAAGTCTACACATGAAAATATTACCAGTAATTGGCACACACCCATGCATATGTGCTCGCACACACACACACACACTTACTGGTGCTGGCCCATCAAAACCATCAGCTTTTGTATTTTCTTTTGGAAATTCTCCCTGCCACATATTCAGGCGATGCTCATCTTTTGGTGTGAGTTTATTGCCCCATGGGAATAATCTAATTGAAGTATAATAAAACATTTGAATTAATTAGTTCAAATTTCAATTTTTTTCTTTTTGCTTAAAATTCAGACAACAAAAAGCTTGACTTTGTGAGGTGATGTGATACACAGGGGCGTAACCAGACCTTTTAAAATTGTACGCACAGATTTTGAAAATTCCCAGGTACGATTATATTCCGTGAAAAATACACTGAATTTATGGAGAATAATATCATGGCTGGCTCAAAAAAATTGTACGCACAGTGCATCCGTGCGTATGCCTGGTTACGCCCCTGATACATGTAAGTGTATACCCTAAAGTTTCTTTCTTATAATCAAAACAAAAATGGTGAATAAAAGAATGAATCATGATATAGCAGACTTCACATAACTTATACTTGAATGATCATTTATCTCACAAAAATCTTCTAGGTGTACATCACATTTTTGGTATAAACTGAAACTTTTTTTGGTATAAAATGAGCATTGCCTTTAATAATTTTAAAACATCTTTGTGTAATTGGAACTAATTTTTCAGCCCTAATGTACGTGAATCTGAGTTATGAGTCTATTGAATAATCCTATATTGCAATTAAGTTACACTTTAAAACAAATCCCCTTAAATCATACATAAATGTAGATAATAAATAAAAAATACTATAGACAAAAGCTGCAGATTAGTTCAGTGACTGTGTGCTGTATATACCTATCCTTCAATCCACCACGACAGGCATATTCCCACTCTGCCTCTGTAGGTAAACGTTTTCCTGCCCACTTACAGTAGGCTACAGCATCATTCCATGATACATGGATAACAGCATGGTCCATCCTACAACAACAACAACATCATTATACATGTATATTAACTGTATACTGACAGCTTACACCCAGAATGTCTTAACAATACATGGATAACAGCATGGTCCATCCTACAACAACAACATCATTATATATCAACTGTATATTTACAGCTTACTAGTACACCCAGAATATTTTAACAATACATGGACACAAGCATGATCCCCCCTCCTAAAACAACAACAACAACAACAACAACATCAATATATCTTTACTGTATATTTACAGCTTCTACCCAGAATCATTTAACAATACATTAATTACAGTATGATCCATCCTACAACAACGACATAACTAATTTACAACTTACACCAGACTCAATTTACAATACATGGATAACAACATGACCCATCCAGCAGGAAGAACATCATTACTGTATATTAACAGCTTATTTTCATAAACTCATAATCTACATAATTCAAGGCTCACTGCCCTCTAGAAGACTATTACAACATCATGCCACTATTCTTCTTCTTATCCCTAACGAAAAAGTCCTATAGGATCCTATAAGATCCTATAGGATCCTATAGGAAATTGGCCCAATTTCCTTTATGATCCTATAGGACTTTTTCGTAAGGGATCATCAATATTATCATTAAAACCAGCCTGTCAAACTGTCCCAGCATGGGTGCTAGACTTTACTCATGTAGTTCACATACACATGTAGGAGGGAAAGAGGTGTCAGCATAATTTCAACAGAATTTTTCAAAAGAATTTTTGTTTCTGATATCCCTTTCAGTAGTTGCCCTTTTTTCTTTTCTTTTTCTTTTCTTCTGAGTAATGCACTCTTAGAACCCCATTTCCATAGACACCATCAGTACAGTACATGCAGACTGACCCAACTCATGAGGCGTATGTGTCAATCAACTGGTTAAGCTGATTGCAACTCAACAAAGAGTCCCCTTTCAGTTACATCAATCTGCAATGCTGTCTATGGGAATAGGGTCTAACAGTGTTTTACAGTTTCAATTTTCTTTTACCTTCCTTTTAAATCAGTATCAGGCCCATCAGGGTGGCGCCAATCTGCCCCCTTCACAGGAAGCCACCAAGGAGCTGCTGCCACCTAGTGGTAAAATAGAAGCAAAATGTTCTTTTTAACATACATATGTGTAGTACATACTATGATGTCATTTGGTAATACTGCAAAATTATTTTTAAAATTATGGGTTTTTTAAATTCTGAACATATATAATATCTCCTTGTGTAAAAGAGCACTCTCCTTTTTAACTACAATGGCAGAAAAATTAAAACAGAATGAGGAATCAGTACAATTTACATGGCAATCATTTGCAAGCACATTATTCATAAGAATGGCTATATTGAAAATATGTCATTTTCATTTAATATGTATCAGTATACAGAGTGTCAATATAAAAACTTACTGCTTGTGAAATTCCTTTTAAAACTTCTTCACTAATTCTTGTTTCCAGCACAAATGAATCACCAAATGTCTCTGCCTAAATGACAAAATATGAAACAATACAGGAAAGGACCTATAGAAGTTCTGATCAAGTAAAGTGTACAGTATACTTGAATTTGATTTTTTTAAACACCAAATCAAATTTCCCTCAAGAAAAAAATTTTTTTTGACTCACAACTGTAATCTGTGCGAGTCTATGCATTTTGTTTTGATGTACTGCTACATGTACCGGTACCATACCTTCCTTTATAACAGCTACGGATTTTTGAGGAAAATAAAAAGGCGAGGATTTTTTGCTCAGTTCTAAGGTTATATTTCAACTTTTGGGACTTTAAAGTCACTTCCTATTTTGTGTTAATACAATGGGTGTTAACCCATTGTTCTAATTCCAAACCTTGTTTAGGTAAACAGTTTACCAGAGATTAATAACATCTTTATATTTTTTAACCTAATAGTTAAAATACTTGATTCCTATTGTGTAATGTGGTGTCATTTCCTTTAACCATAAAAGGTGGGGAGAAAAAGCTGTTTAGTTTTTAAAATGTGAATAAATGTTGATGAATTTTGGCATGGACATAATAATAATTCCTATTTAGGTCCAAGATTTTGGTCGCTTTCAATTCTTTTAAATAAGTTCAAAATAAAAACATGAAAATTAAACTTCATTTGCTTTATTTTACTGGCACATTTTAATAATAATTAAAAAAAAAAACGAAGTTGCTCAGTATGTTTAAACCGTCCACCCCTTTTCGATTCTTTCATAATTGGACCAGTGCCCCAAGACGCAGGACCACTACCTCCAGAGTCAACTGGTCCATGTGGACCAGTGCTGAAAAATTCCCATTTCCCTCCCTGATCATTAAAAGCTTGGCAGGATACTTTAAATAGAGAGAAAATACAACGATGCGGCTTTTTCAAACCCATATACTGGGTAGTATACTACCTTTGTAAAGAAAACACATGCCAAAACTAATCTCTTTCTTAAACAAACACTGATATAAACCAACCTACCTCGGTAACATGACCCGTGTCATTGACAAACAAACCAAACTCTGCATTGCTGACTTCGTGCACGTCCATATAAAACCCCGTCACCTCTACCTCCCGTGGTGGCCCCTCCCCGTCTCCGGGAAGAATAGGCTGGGCGACGCCCATCGTAAACACACCTCCTGGAATATACACCATTTGATTCGTCCGAGCGTACGGACTCTTCACCGCAGCAGGGCCCAAGTTTAACGGTCCCTTCTCAGCCGAAGAAGAAAGTTCGTCTGCACGTTCAGATTGGTCTGCACCCTCCCCTTTGTCATCATGTTTTCGATTTGTCGCGGCACAGCCACATCCTTTGTTTGAACTGTCGGGATCGTCACCGCCAGTACATTGCTTTTCAGCTTTTGTTTCTGTCTCAGGCGAAATGCTGGGTATATAAAGGCATATTATTAGAATTAAACAAGTCCACACGTTCACCCGTTTCTCCATGTTTATTTTGGTAACTCGTCGGTAGATGGCGAAACATTATTTCAAGGTTTTTTTCGTGCCTCCAAGCACTAAAGACGTCGTCTGCATGTTGGTTGCAGACAGAAAACTGCGGGTATATTACTATTTAATGTTTAATTTACCGTTCCACGTCTTCAATCAAGTAGATATTAGTCTGTATTAATCTTATCTTCTTTCTAAAACTGCTGTCATGGCAAACAGAGAACCGGATGTTTCCGAATGGGGTGTGTTGACGGCCACAGAAGGCTACGGAAGGCCAGATTCACAAGAAGATTACGAGCAGATAAGCTATGAAGACGCTATGGGAAAGACGTGGGGTAAGAACGGAGAGAAGCCGTACAGACACGCTGCCCACGCTATGATCTACGCCCCAGATGGCAAGAAGTTGTGGGACATGTACGAAAATAAGGCTGTGATATTGGTAAGAGGATTGGATTTGATAAGGAAAATCAAGCCAAGGATGGCGGGGGTGGTGAATGGTGGGGGTGTTGTGGGAGGGGGAGTGTTCTCCAAGCATTTGTGTAATTAAAGTGATTGGTCAATGATAGTGAGACTAAATTTTTATTGGACTGTTCCCAATGATTTTCATTTATTGATTTATTTTGGTTGTGTCTGTGCCAATACACTGGTCCTCAGCACCGAAATGACATCCATACTACATTGCTTTCACTAAAGCAGCCTACATAGTACAAGAACTAGTATATAACTACAATTATTCTAGTACAGGCATTTAAAAGACATCTTGGTTCCGTCAGTCATTTACCTGTAGTAGCATAAGTGTTATGTAAAACAATATGAATTAAATTAAAGCATCTCTCACACACATCTTTCTCTCCAGATGATGATGAGATTTGACGGATACATCGGATTTCCGGGTGGAATCATGGATGACGGTGAGACAGTGGAGTTTGGGTTAAACCGCGAACTCGAAGAAGAGATAGGGCTAGATCCAACCAGGCATAGCTTTACTAAAGAGGACCATGTTTTATCATACGTCACCCACAACAAGAGACTACTGCTGCATTTTTATTGCAAAAAAGTGACGCTAGAGGAGTGTTTGGAGATCGAGAAAAGAACCATCGATGCAGACGAGTATGGATGGGAGGTATGGTTGCCAAACTGCTATCCATTGTGTGTGTGCGTGTGTGTGTGTGTGTGTGTGTGCATGTGTGTGTGTTACAGAATGAGAAAGAGAGAGAGAGAGATGGAGAAAATGAGTGTGTGTGAATGTGGATGTGCAGGACTGTATAAAACATATATTTGTGGGTGGATTTTTGTCATTATTTATTTATTTATTTATTTATTTATTTATGGGTATGGTTTAAGTCCTTAGATGTGGGCACCTGTTGATGTGTGGGTGTTTGCGGCTGCAGGTGTTTGAGAAGACGTGTTCACATGGTTGTATCCGGTAAAAACATATGTCAAGCATGTGATTAAGATGTTCAAGATAAATAAAAGATTAATTGATGTATCAAATGGTTTTCTGAACTTCATATTCTTATTTTTGATGTTTGAACTATGATGATTGTGTAATTAATATAAATTTGCAAATTATTTTAATATTTTGTATATTAAAATGTTTATACTCGGTAATTATGTGCTATTCTCTAATGTTACCAAGCAAAGGCTGACATACAGTATTTAATTTTTCAGGTGTTAGGTCCTATACGGGTGCCGATGTTCACATTAAATGATAATGAAAGAGGCCTTCCAATATTTCTTAGCAACAAATTCATAGGCAATGCCAAGGAAGAACTGCTTTACTGCATTGAAAGGGAGAACATCATGACGAAAGAAGAAATTCAGCTGGCACTTGAAAACTGTGAGAAATTTAAGGCAAGATATATGAGATGAGTTTAGCTCTATTCCTTAGCAAACATGCTTCGCATTTATTTTATTTAGAGGAGGTTATACTTAGGCAGCATAATGAGTAGAGAAGATAATTATTTCTACATATTGTATATAATATGAGAATGTCTGTATATTATATGCAGTAAGCAAGATATTTATTCACATTTACTAGTGTAAACTCTCATATAGAAGGCAGGGTTGTAAAGTGACAAATTTGCTATGTATCATTATATTTAAGATAGCCTAATACATAACAAGTGAGAGTATTGGTACTGGTACATTCCCTGTAGCATATACAATTAAAAGGCTTAAAACTGCACCTTAAATTTGACCGGCTTCGTTAACCCTCCAGTCTGTAAAGCATAGTAACTAAGCAGTATATACCGCGGTATCTGTTCAAAAAACGTTTTTCAGGTAATATTGAAATGTTATTCTGAGGTATTTCTTTAAGTTATGCTATTTGAAATGTGCACAAAGTCATATCCATGGTGGCATTTTGTCTGGTTGAGTTCTGATAATTTGACATGTTCTTGCTGAATATGCATTTTTTAAGATGGGATTTTTGCTTTTTGTGTCAAAACTATATGTACATATACTTGCCATAGCTGTCTTAGACTGCATTCCCACAGATTTAGATTGATCCATCTAGATCGACCTAACTCCCTTGGGGTTCATGCTAAATTGCTCTCAGCCGAGTGCGCACCATAGTTAATTACCCCCTTACAGCTTATAGTAGGTGGAACAGACATTAAAACCGGCTAAGCTTACAGTAATCTAGTGAGACTCCCCACGGGGATAGATCAATCTAAAATCTGTGGGAATGCAGTCTTATTCTGCCAAATATGTTTATATTGCTCAGTGGTTCACATATATACTGAGTAAGGTGGTTCAGACACAGTCACATCAAGTTAGCATGTTGCCTTATGAATTCTTTATCACCTCTGGAGAGCTTTATTTAACAGATGTGCTTGCTTGTGTTGACACTGAGCTTTCACCTAAGCTTTTTTATCAGTATGATTTATTCATTTCATGTCATGTTTTACAGCAGAAGTAAGGTAATATAATAGTTAGGTGTTTTTTTCCTTTTCAAAGGTACCACACATGCATTTTATGGAAACTTGGTTGGATATCTACAGTGTATTTTAATTTATTGCTTTGTTATGATCTTGTTTTATGATCTATTTTATCTCATGACTAAATAGCTATTTGTCACAAAATTGTACACATAAAATAAGCATAATGTATGGATGTCGGTATTATGTGGCAATAGATCCATACCTAAACTAGGTTTTCCATTGTGACCTCAAGGTCATGTTGGTGATATGGCACAGCAACTGCACTTTAAGTCAACACACTGCCTGTAGCCACTTTTGATGTATTGAAAATGGCACAGAAAATGGTACACAATTTCATTGTGTGGGGTCCATGGCAAATGTAATGTATGCTTTACCTTCATTTGTGAGCCCAGGCTTCTTTTGTTCAAAAAATATTTTTTAAAAACTTATTTTTATTATGTTTGCAATTTTTTTTCTATTTTGGAAATTCAGTAACCCAAATCTT